AAACATGACCTATATAGTCAGTTACCCCCGTGACTTTCATAAATAGCTATATATATTTATCGGATATGATCGGTAATGTTCAATTTATAAAAAAAAAATGAGCAGTCTATTCATATTTTAGGAAGTTTTGTAATAGTTTATCCTTATCAATAATTGTTCAATTGCCAGTATAATATTCAACAGTATGTTGCTAACATAATTATTGCAATAAATCAAGTAATTCTTGGACTTCCAGCAGGTAAGGTGTTGCTTTAAATTTAAAACACATGAGTTAAGTCAAAATCATCTTTCTTGTTCCGGCGCCATATGACCTTATGTTGGTGCGCCTAGAAACCAAAAAAAATTTCATCATGATACAACTCACATCACGGTAGAACCATCAATATTTTATAGCATTAATGTTCAATATATAAAAGGACGTAATAAGTAGTGGCGATGTCTCCTAAATGTCACATACATCGATTAATACTTATTCCATTTTAATAAACATTAATGTTACTTAATTCTCTGTCTAGTCTTTATCAAATAAATAAGTTTTCCAGAAAGGAGAAGAAGAAATAATGTGTTATATGTGTATATAGGATTTCATTTTGTATTTCCAAGAAAAAGTCTAGATTTTATACACCAAAGTAAAGTTTCATAAAAATAGAAATGATAAATTTGTAAAGTTTAAACCAATTCATATGCGATAGTATGAGGTAAATATACGTGTACATTGTATTGAACGATACTGAATTCATTTGGACGACTGTCAAATCTTAATTTGACCAGGCCCTTTGTTAAACACATAATTTTGTATTGAACTTTACAGTGTATGGATATCTTATTATAACATCTCTTGATGTAAACAATTTTGATTATACAAAAGATGCTTAACATTCCTACACTTTTAGAAAATAAAATTTAAACATGCATCGTTTTCAGATAAGATGGTATTTATCAATTCAGACAATATCTTTTTTAATTTAGAACACAATGCTTTGCATGTTGCATGCAGGAGACTGCATGGACAGTAAAATTTCAATAAAATGATAAGATTTTTCAACTTTTTCTGCTTAACATTGCGATGAGGTCGTTGATTCAATTTGAGATTCTAAGATTTTCATTTACAGTGAAGAACAAATCGTCTTTTAGGTCATATTTATTGCAGAAATGAAAACAAACAAAAAATCTACTCAGGAGAAATCAGATTTAACAAGGGACATTTTACGGAGTCATCGTTAAAACTGAATTAGAGACATGTACGGGCATTTCCCTCTAGAATTGAATGATTGAATGGAGAACTTTGTTTTTGTATTTTATTCAAATAAGCAAAAAATAAAAGAAGATTTAAATCATCTCTTTGATAGTGTTATTCCGATATGGAACCGAAATTCGTTTTTACCATTCTCTTATGAATAGTATAATTATTCTGAAACAAAACTCAAAACAAAACAATCTTGAGCTTGTAACGCACAATGAATATAAATGCTTTTGCATGACATAATGCACAATATTGATCATTAGAAGCGATCGGTTTTGCCTTCATAAAAGATGCAATATATTGACTGTTTTTTATTTCACTTTTGTTTCTACTGCAAAACCATTGAAGGGAATGGGTATAAAACATGATAACATATGCTTATTAAGTACTTTTGCCTGATATTTCTCAGGAAATTTAGGACCATCAATATTGTCTTACATTAGCGTTCATTATATACAAAAGGTCGTGATATGTAATAGAGATGTCGCGGAAATGTCCCATACATCAATTAAATACTTATTAGAGGGTTATACACATTGATTTTCACTTAATTCTATGTCTAGTCTGTCGCAAATAAATCAGTGGACAGAGTGGGAGAGAGAGAGCAATAATATGTTACTTTTCGCATGATATTTCTTTCATTTTCAACCGACTTTTGTACAGAAAAAATTCATACGGGGGATTTTAAATCTTTGCACACTTACACAATTTTTAAAATAATGACAATAAGATAAAATCAATACATGTACAGTAAATATACATAAACTATAATTATAATTCATATCTCTTTTGGATGCTTACGATTTTGTTGAAGATGAATTATTAAAAAAAGAGTTTCTATGGTCTAATTTCTATGAGCTAAAATTCATTTAACATAGTCTTCGCTCTGTTTATCAAATTTTGTTTTAGTTTATATGTATTATTGCAAATAAATGCATGCTATAAAAACATATTGTTCTTACTTCTTAGAAAAAAGAATCCGTAAATAACGCCAAAAACAAAAACTGAAAATGTTTCAAATTTTCAAATTGAGCCTGTTCATAAAGTGATACGTGCAACCACCTCTTACCGAATTAAAACATACAGTTTAAGGTTTAAGCATGGAATAATAAAGTTTTAGTTTGTAAACAAAAGGAATGAGTTATACAAATTTAATTATTCTAATACATTTGTCCCTACTGGGAATGACAATGATATGTATGAAGACATACACGTAAAACATTGTAGTTGTTTACATCATTTCATCTGTCGTTTGCATAAGCAAGTTTTGCTACCTTATTGTCATATGTTGTTGACCCACAATGCGTAGTTCACTTTTATATTAAGACATTTCGGCCAACACAGTGAATTAGATCAGAGAGACAGTTCTTGGAGATTATGGAAAATGTGTTTGTCTTAGCATTTGTGAATTAAACAAGGCTAATGTTTGGCTACTTCAGCTATACATATTCCCTATAGAGACAACAAATATGTTGAATGAATTAACACTGTCGGATAAAAGCGTTGTAAGACTCTCTTTCTAAAACGTTTCCTTGTTTCATAACTGGCAGTTTTTAACACGTTGCCTCTATTTATATGTTATATATTTTTACACTTCATCCCAATTAAATGAGGAGTATTAATTATGGTAAAACTCTCAGTATTTATTTTAAAGGGTTTTTATAAGTGGTTAACACCAAGTATTAGTAGGTTATTAACATTTAAATAGTTTTTTAGAAATTTTTAGAGATACAATTAAATATGATGTGATTTTAAAATAAGCGTTTATTTTTGCATGAACAAAGGTCAATGACAGTTATAACATCTGTTCTTTTGTCGAAGTCTCAAACAGAATACTTTAGCTTGTTTGAATTCTTGTCTTATACATGTTACGATAGAATTATAAAATCTGCGATTCTCATGTACACATGACCTCAAATATCCCCAAAAGTGTTTGTCTGTATTGTTTTCTATATATTTACAATGGAGACTCAGGACATTTGCTAGTTTTAATCATTTTTACGAGGGGATGAAAAACATGATTATAACGTACGACCGTCAATTAGACCAAATCAGTTACATAGAGGCTTTTTACTGCGGGACTCATATGATGATCGACTTTGTCACGCACGTTCTCGTTCCATTGCCTAAGGCTACTTATCCTCGAACGATGGACGAAGAAAGTAAGTCAAGATCCTCAAAACACTCCAATTTAATATTGCCTTACAGATCAGAAACAACAGTTTTAGTGAAAATAAACGGAACAATCGTAAATCTTAGAAAATTGTTGGAAGTATTCGTTTGTGAATTTAAAGTGAATGAGAAAAAAAGCTGTGCCATGTTGACAATCTGTTTTCAGTCAGAAAGTTCTTCAGTCGTTTGAACACCTTTCTTCATTTTTCCCGTTATCTCACAATATTAACGTTGTTTTGTTATAAAATTTTCTTGGAAAATGTAAGATTTGCTTCGGTTCTTCTTTCCTACCAAAAATGAATAACACTTTAATAGATAATTGAACGCTTCAAACAGGATTGCATTTTTGATTACTACCTAATACACATTACAAAATGAAGAATTAAAAACTTTCAACCATTACATGTACAATTGTATTGATTTTCATTGCTTCACAATTGTCGGGGAAAGGTTTAACATAATTATTCTCAATAGTTATGTTTTCGATATCAATGGATAGAAATAGATTTCTTCCAGCTTTTATCTTTAAACAAATAATGATTCCATTATCGTTATATCTTTGTTTGTTTTTTTTTTCTTGTGAGATACATTCCCCAAAGAGGCCATTATATCGGATTGAGTTAACAAGCAGTTTGTATAAATCATACCATTCAGTGACTGAGTTCTCCAAAATATCAATATAGGGTCCATCCAATATTGTTTTGTGTATTTGCTCATAATTTTATTTATACACACGTCAAAGGACGTAAAGAAGATGATTCTGACAGGATGATGGCTAAATCGATAAAGGCACTTGTCGCCTTTTTGTGGGAAAAATCGTCTTAAGCATGATTGAATTGTTGAAGAGTAATCTTCATGTAAATGAAAAGCTTCTTGGCATTACCATTCCGGGGCTTCATCAATATGGTCTTTAACACTTCGTGTAGGTGCTTGATTAGATTTCGCGTTGATTAACCCTTTTCGCTTAACAGGAAATCTCGTATCGGAGAGATAAGAAAATTAACTTCTTTGATCCTTGTTTGGTGTATAATATCAGCTATAATGGAAAATATTTTGCACATTAGATATTCATTTAGTCTCATTTCTTAAGAGCGCATTCTGAAACCTCACACTTGTATTTAGTATTAAGATTGAGTAACACTATCGAAAATTTTTCTTTTTTCCCCTCATGCAAATATCACTTAATTGTAATTTCGACATAAATTTCTATTTCTGAATATATTTTGATAAAGGCATGACACTGATAATTTCTCTTTAAGAAAGTTATCATTTAAAAAAATTAATTCACATAAATATGGCTACCCCTGTTGATAAAACAAACAAACTTTAGGTCACTGTAAGTGTGCTTTTAAAGATCATTTTAACTATCTAAATTGTGATTGAATACGCAATCATTTAGAGTCTCCATTTTTCATATAATACTGTTACATTTATTATTTCCAAGGGTTGACTGCTTTTTCAGCTTATGTTATTGTTTATTGAAGAAAAAGCTGTTGAAAATTAAACAGTATATTTTCATTTTTAGTGAGCCTAGTGCTTAATGCGCGAGTCGCCGAATAATAGCTTTTAAATATTATATATATTTACAGTTTGTGATAAGATGATGGAGGGTGCGCAAATGATGATAGTAGATTATCACCCAACTACATATGGTAGTGTACAGTCCTACGCCCACTACTTAAACTTGCCAACCCTCGTGCCTGGAGGAACAGGGAGCAGTGCCTATGACCCTTATAAATATGACATTAGTCTACTTCCGCCCACCATTGGCGCCATCGTCGCCGTGATTAAACACTTCCAATGGAACAACGTCGTTTACTACATATTCGATACAAATGATGGTAGGTCAGCATATTCGTGGTGACGAAAAAGTTAAGAAAGATCAGAACATCTGTATACACATTTATAAAGAATACAAAAAAATTCACAAGCGAAAAACAAACAACTCAGCCTATCTAAAAATGGTTGTTTATTTGATTTTAATTATTTCTCTTAAATTAAAAGAATTCAGAACTTATGTCTCTGAATATGCTTTGTGATTGAGTTTAGTTTATCTAGTTCAAACATGAAATGTTGAAATTTAGTCGCTATCCACATTTGTTGTTTGATGTTCTATAAGTTGAGAGTTAGCAATTTAGAACACTTTCATATATGTTTCCCAGTTTTTCATACAGTATTGTTTTGATTTTTTCTATAGGTCTGCTACGGCTGCAGACTCTTTACAATTCATTTGTTTCCGGCGATTCTAGTCCTGTCATAAGAGCTCACCGGTGATACGCAGTCGCTACCCACAGTCATATATAATGTTTAAGCGGAGAGTAAGCAATTTAGAACTTGACTCTTTCATATATGTTTTTAGTTTTGCAAACTGTAATACTTTGATTTCCTTCTGTAGGTCTGCTACGGCTGCAAAGTCTTTACCAGTCATTTGTGCCTGGCGATTTTAATCCTGTCATTAGGGCTCGCCGAATTAGTAACATATCTCATTGTTACGATGTCCTCAGGAAAATTGACAGAAGTCCTCCGCCAAAACGAATCATACTAGACCTTTCAACGAAAGAAGCATACGAGAGTGTACTTCATCAGGTACGACTACTTTTAAATGCTCATCTCATTTTAATGATTAATATCATCGATTACTTCAGCCTCGGTTTATTGCATGTATGTAGAATGGATTATATTCACCCGACCCCCTTTCAGAATTCCATTTTATTCTATTCTCCTCATAGTTTCTCGTTTACGGCACACGGATTCTTTGACCTGGGGGTCATTCACCGCATTTCTCGGAATGGCATAGAAGTGTCGTATTGAAGGTACCTTGATCACCGCCGTATGAACATACACTTCTTCGAATGTTACTAAATTCAAGATTTTACCATTATTATCGTCACGCATAAATGTTGATAAATGTTCCAACTGGTGCTAGGTAGGGGATGTGGACGGTAGCTCGCAGTTACCATTACCTTTCATAATACTGTTTCAAACAAACCGAGCTTGCAACATTACGAGTTTTGTCTTTTTGACGTACTTTATAAACTCTGTCACTCTTTTTTCCAACGAACGCAAATGCGTAAAAAGTCACTCGAACTTTCTATGTGTATCTTTATTTAAGAAATTGGTATGAGTATTTCTTATATTTCAGATAGTGGATGTCGGCATGAACAGAGATGGGTATCACTACATTCTTGGAGGTTTGGTAAAGGATCCCTTTTCTTTTACATACAGTAGTTACAGAATGCGAATACCTCGAACTTTAAAATAACTTAAATAACTTAATTCATATGAGTGAACTGTTAAAAGCTGAAATACATGTACCATTAAATTTTTTATGACTATTTTTCAGCTTTTTTTAAAGACTTCTTCGCGTAAATGTGTATAATTACTAAATAACCGGAAACACCTCCTTTAAATGTCCTTGAACTTATCTGGAAAATTTAATTAAAAAAAATTAATTAAACAGTTTTTGTGTGTGTGTGTGTGTGTTTGTATTTTTTTTTCTATTTTTTTTTTTGGGGGGGGGGGTATATCATTTTAGGCAAATTTTAAAGCGTACCGTAAACATCTGTCATTATCGAATACTTGTCAATTATTATAATGATAGCCAATATCTTAATATACTAATAAAACTTTAAGTATGAAAAGGAATAAATAATGCAGATAAAGTTTCAAGCATTATGAGGCAAAACATCTAAAATCGATGACTGAAGAAATGGCTTTTTAATCTTACAAGCATGTTACTAAACCACAAATATAACAAAGACACCATTTCTAATTCCCTTATGAATAAACCATTGATCAATCATTCTGTTTTACAGTTTGAACGCAAATTACTCGAATTTCAGGTTACGACTAATACAGTTGAAATTTATTGAATAAAATAAGAAAAAATAACCGTACGCGATTGTTTGGTTATAAATGAACTGTCAGATATATCTCTAGCATCGTTAAATCAGATATTTGATAAACGCATTTGAGATAGAAATTTTCCAGAATCCAAGAGAGTTCTTTGTTAATGTAAATGGGAGCTGTCAGAGACATGACACATTTTAATGTTGAAACATTCATCATGTTGGTAATATATATTCAGGGTATTACAGAATTAGATTTGAGCACTTTTGTTTTCGGTGGCGTTAACATCACCGGGTTTAGTATTGTGGATAACGAGACTGCAGAAAATGTTAAACTGCTAGATGATGCCAGGGGCTACGAGTTACATCCTGTTGGAGACTCGGTATGTCTTTTATTCCTGAAATCTTATGTATGTCTTTTATTCATGAAATCTTATAAATTTCGAAGTCTGAAAATAAAAGCACTACATTTGGGCAGCACGTCTCCAGATTCTTACTACTTTTTATGAAAATTTTGAAAATGTATCAATAAGTTAGATAGTATGCAGTGAACAAATAAAAAAAGTTTAAACGTTGTAACGACACTAACAACCAATGTAAATAACTGAAAGGGGGTCAAAATATGCAAAAATAACCTTTACTGCGTTGGTAATTTAGTAGAAATATGGTAAAAAAATACTGAAAACCATTCATTAATCGCGCAGAACAAGGAAAATATTACATTATCTTTTTTCTTTTCTTAAAATTTTTGTAAAATTTTCTAAAGTTTGTTTTTCTTGAATTATTTTGCCTTACCTTGAGGCATGCCGCGTTAAGATATTTTCCTTATCTTGACGCTAGTAAAATGGTATTTTCAAAAATATACTTGTTTATTTAACGACTTTAGCTGAATAACATAATATTATAATTTCTTGTGTTACAGTAGTCAAAACTCTAATCTAAATTAAATACCTTTTAAGTCAATTCAACACGCTTATTAATGTTCCACATGTAATCTGATTTTTTTGTTTGATTTTGGTTTAACGGCGCTCCAACACAATTTAAGTCATATGGCCCTGAAATAGGAAATATAAGTTTGGCTAACCTCGGGTGTTACAAACTTAATATGTTAGCACGTATATGATACGTCTTTTGTAAAACATGATATATATTCTTTGTAAAACATTTAAAAAAAATGTCAAGTTTAGTTTGAATTCAGAAATGAAGGTGATAAATATCACATTACTGTATCATTTATTAATCGCAATTTGTGTCGTAAGTGTTCTTTTCTTTTTTTATCGTTAAGGTAGAAGACGCTATGGTAATAGATACTGTACACGTGCTTCTTCTAGCTGCTAAACAATTGAATGACGACAGGTACAATATCAATGATGATATATATTCTTCAAGGAGGAGAGACAGGTATTCCAGGTATGATTATGATTTTCGCATCTACTTTCCCTGGCTGATTCTTTATGTACTTAGTTATTTTCAGTAGTTTTGGCGCGACCCCCTTGCACCGCTTTAGAGCCATGCCATGTTTCTATTCTTTACTTGACCGTCTGGCTGTTGGTAAGATGGTCCTGTGTAACTGGGTCTTGCTGGGTGCTACATTCAATGGATCTTGCTTTTCTTAGTTGATATTTCTTTTAATATTATATATTTATGTAATTTTCATTTCATATATCAATCTATAGTGAAATGCACACAGACATCTCTTTTTCCTTTCTTTTTTATTAATATAATATGTCGACTAATAACTTTAAACGCGTCAATAAGAAGAATAAGAATGTGTAGAAACCGTTAATTGCAATATTTATTTATTATTAAACAGATTCGAGCTTTAATAAGACGTTTTAAGCCGTTTTTAGCTTACCCTATTTTAAGCAGAAATTATTTTAGACCTCTTTGATTTATATATGAAACTTGTCTAGTTTGTTGCCAAGATATAATTCTTGAATTTCCTAATATAGACTACGTATTTTAGAACAGAAAGAAAATAACATAATTAAATGTTACTTAAAGATATATAAGGAGATGTAAAGTCTAAACTCAGTTATATAACAAAACATGTTTGTTTAAATAAAATATAAAAAATCAAATTGGCATAGTGAATGTCAAATGTTGATGGGCGGCATGCCATATTTTTATGAGTGTCAAAGCTTTCCAGTTATTACGTTACAACTCAAAATGAATAACAATTTATCAAGATGTAATCGGCAAATGTAAAACTTTGCTGAAAATATATATGAAATGTATGAAAAGTTATTTAATAGTTATTTTTTTATTATTATGATTTATATTATGAAGTAATTTATGAAGTTTATTTAATGTACTGAGGTTTTTTGACATGCCGGGATTAGGAATAATGTTTCGAGATAAATGTTCCACTTGATGTAGATCTACACCAACTACTTGAGTATAATATTTCAGATCATTCGCAGACTCCGTTTTTTTCAATCATTTAATAATATCAACATTTAATCTTTAAAGGTATGGTAATACAAATCCAAATGCTCAAAGTTACAATTGTAGCGGCGTCAGTTTAGAACAGAGTTTTGATGGAGACATGATTCTTCAAGCGCTTAAAAGGGTAACATGTTTACAATGTATTTATTTCTTTCTTTGTTTCATTCTTTCTTTCTCTTTTTCTGTCTCCAGTCAACCTAACCGTCATTTTTGGTAACTAATCAGAAATACCAGTTTTTTTGCAAGTAACTACAAATTTTACATAATTTCTAAATTGACTATAGGAGACAATGACCAGACTCACTGTCCAAAACAAAAATCGATTGTCACGTAGAAACTTCGCCTGACCAGAGGATCGAACTAGCGACCACTGCACTGGATTACGATGCTCCCCAAATATTAAGCTACGTGGGCGGGTCTATTGTAAGATGTTACAATGTCTATGACAAAAGTGTTTATCTTCAGTGTATTATCTATGCTGCCTGATTTGTGCTGTATTTTCTCTCAGCGGGGCGTCAGATAAAAACACGAAAATACGACAAAAGGTTTTAGCCTGGCGTTCTACTGAGCGAACGTACAACAAAATGGTGAGTTTGTCGTATTACCGTGCTTTTGCCTTTGAGCCCGGCGAACGGAATTTTTTTACGGCGCCCCGCATAGTGAAAATCCGACATGGTTCAAAAGAGCCACTGTACACAACAGTACATCTTTACACAATATGTTCAGTTCTTTGACATTTTTAAAAGTAAAACAGATAACGTATGTTTTCGTTTAATGGATATGAAATAACATTTAATAGATAGCATATATTGTAATAACATACTTATCGTATTTTAAATGTTGAAGACAACTTTGTATTATATGTTGCTTTAAATAACAATGGAATTAAGAATACTCAGCATTTATTTAGCTAACAATGGAGAAGATATTTTATATACAACAGGTTACTACATATGGTTTAACGGGAAACATAGAATTTGACAAAAATGGTGTAAGACAGAATTATATCTTCAAAGTGTATCAATTAGAACACAAAGTACCATTGAGACAGGTAAATCTATAATAAATAATAATAAAATATAATAAATGTATCATTTACAAGAAGAACTCATAACACCATTTACTTATTCTGTCTTATGGCGGCGTAAACCCAAACCAAAAAAAGATGAATTTATCATAAATTATATACCAGTTTTATTAATTTTATTCAATTTCGATATTATTACATTTTTTATCATGAATAATAATTATACAAGTTTATTAATTGTTTTGGATATTGCCACATACAATCTTATGAACCATCATCTAAACGGCAAATTCTGATGTCTTTTCTAATGCTGAAAAAAGACACAAAAAGAACTGAAAACAAAAATGGAAACTGTTATAGTATACCTGTACCAACTGTTATTTATTAGTTATAGTAAGGGAAAATTATATTATTCATTTGATAGGTCGGATTTTGGACACCTAAACTGGGATTTAACACAACACTTCCTAAACCTGAGGTGAAAGAAATACAAAAAGACGATCTTAACCGTACACTGCGTGTTACAACAATTGAGGTATATTTGTTTATAAATTAACTGTTGTGTAACAATGATATATAGTGCCATTATGGTATATTTGTTTATAAACCAATAGTTATGTAATAATGGTACATATTACTATTATGTTCTTTTACATGTAGTAGTAAATATAAGCCGAAAACTGTCCAATATTTTACTTATTTGTCAGTTTGAGGCTTATATCTTAAACCCCAGTCATACTAGAGCTTACGATTACTTGCGACCACCGGCGACTTGTAAAACTGACGATCATCAGCGATTGTCTGCGACCAAAACCATTTTTGCACGGATAAATTTACTTTTGCGAGTATCGTAAGACAAGTCATCATTGACAATCGCACGACAGGTCATAAGTAAACGTACGATGGTCTCAAGATTGCCTGGGATTACTTACGACTACCCGTGACATAACATGCGATCACCTACAACTTGTCGTACGACCATAACACGATAACTAAAGACTACTTAAGATTATCAGTGACTAGCGGCAATTTGTAAAGACTGTCGTAAGATTGTCGCACTTCCGAACGACCATCGTGCGACAGCCTTAAGACCTTATAAGATCACTAGCGACCTGTTTGATCGCAAGGAGGTTTTTGTGCAAGCTCAAAAACCTCTCTACGACTGAAATTGGTCGTGGGACCTAAATAAGATAACCTGCGACTGTCAAAGATCACCGATGACCGTCGTAAGACGTTTAGTAAATATAAGCCGAAAACTGTCCAATATTTTACTTATTTGTCAGTTTGAGGCTTATATCTTACTTAAATTACTACTTTACTATCAAAATATCATGTTATCGATCGAAAAATTAGAGACAATTTATTTTTGTGCTAGAAATGTACAATTTTAATGTTTTAGCAATTATCTTTTTCTTACTTGCAAAACCCTATTGGTAGCCTCTTGAATTACAAAATGCCCGTAGCATGAACTGTTCGTGTTTTGAAATATGACCAATTATGTACATGAACACAATGATATACACAAAATATACCAGTTACGCAAATTGTTGGACTTACACGCATACAGTATACGCCAATTGACATTGGGGATATTTATAAGAAATAATAAAAATAAAAAGTTTTCAAATTTTAAATGATTCGCTGAGACAATCTATGACTTTTAAGAAGGATTTATACTGACCATTTAGTGTTAAAATGGTTTTTTTTACTTTACTACAACTATCACGGATGTAAAATGTTTAGTAAAAAATTGCCATTAGTATGAATAATGGATATCTACTCAACATTTTTTTTTCTTATTTTTGAATTGATATTTGTCATTTCACAGGAGTCTGGAGTCGTTTCTGTATAAAAACAAACATAAACAAAACATAACCGCTTTTAATTTGAATAGCTGAATTTATTTTCTCTATAATTATATTAAGATTTTATTTCAAAAGCTTACCGTTAAACTTATTTGAAAAGTTGACCTAACTGAAACATAACGTACATACAAATAACGTACATACAATAAAGCAAATCAAGTATGATTGTCAACTAAACGTATTTAAAAAAAGAAAAAGAAAACAAAAGAAGAAAACAGATCATAGACAAGAAATAAAACGATTCCATTAAAATCATATCGTAACTGTCGCTCCGCTACCTTTCACTAGGAAAGCGTAAACAGTGATATGATGTAAAGAGCTCAGTAGGCTAGCTCCTTCGGATCATTGATGCCAGCACTATTAAGTGTTGAGAATTGAGTACCGCTCAAGCCGGTGCTAGAGGGCGTGAGGGATGTTGCACTTTTTCGTTATCCCTCATATACAGACTCAATCAAACAGAGTCTGCAATTCTCTTGTAATTTTGTTGTGAATAATGCTTCCGAGGGATCACTTTGTTTCCAGATTTTTATACTTCACAACAGCAGGTGTCAAGTGCTGTGTGGCAGCCGTAAAAGGTTGCCCCGTACTTCACTTCAGTGTTGTTTTATTTTTCTGGTCCTTCGGGATCATTGATGCCAGCACTATTAAGTCTTGAGAATTGAGTACCTCTCAAGCGTGAGGGATGTTGCAGATATTCATTATCCTTCATGTACAGACTCAATCAAACCGAGTCTGCAATTCTCTTGTAATTTTTGATTAATGCTTCCGAGGGATCACTTTGTTTCCAGATTTTAGAATAAGAATTTTTGAAATGAGCAAATAATCATGGGCAGATAACAATTATTGGTATTTTCGTAAAATTCTGTAAAACGCGTAATGGGCGAAGAGAAGACGTTGCACTCCTCGTTAAGAGGTTACATTTTACTTAATCATGTTTTTTTTTGTTGTTGTTTTTTTATAATTTTCCACAAAATCCTGTAGTCATACAAGCTTCTTTCATTTCACGGCACGCTGTCTAATATTAAGGTGTTATACGATTAATATTGGACCTACACATTAATATTGGATACCTTACCTGTACTGTATTAAAAATACAGTACGGTCAGAACAAAGGAATGAAGTCATAGTAGTGATTTAAACCTTTAGTTGTGTTATAATAGTTAATAGTACAATTATATGAAAACGATAATTGCAGTATTTTTTCGTTAAGGTTGCAAAACAGAAACAAAATAGTAATTGACTCCTATATAAAATACAAAAGTTATTATGACAACATAAATTTACAAAGAGCAAAGGAACCAAAAGAAAGGTCATCTAAGTGGACACTATGTAACTGTGTTCCTCAAACTAAACTGAACTTTAACAAGATATCGAAGGTAAAACAGTCATGAAATCAGAAAGTCAGAAATGAAAATCGTAGCCTTGTCTGGGCATAATTGCCTTTAAGATAGAATAATCTGTGCAGGGAAATTAATAGTACAATACTGAATACTGAGGTATGTTGGGGTTATTTGCCCAGTGTGATATAAAAATATCACCCGAGGGAATATTCTCTGTGAAGGTAATATTCGATCAGAAAACAAGATAGGTTTATTGGAATTGTACATTGAAGTATATTTTTAGGTAAATATAAAACAATATGACTAACTTTTTTCAGGAAGAACCGTTTGTTCAGAAGAAAAAGGGAACTGATGTTTCTGGAGCTCCTTTGGTTGACGGGAAATATCTAGAGGTATTTACTTTTCAAATATCTTCACTATCTTTTATCAAGTAAAATTATGATATAGACTTTAAGAAAATTCCGTATTTGCTAACTTATTCCAGAGGTTGTTATACCATTTTATTAGGATTGCATAAACAAAACAACCCTATTTCTAGATAGCTTTATATTAGTTTCTGGTCACATATTATTAAACAAAACAGTATTAAAGTTTATATGTTTATCTGTTTGTGTATGATTTATCAATTTTATTATTTAAGTTACTTGTAAAAATGTTTGTATACGTATATAAAAATTTATCTCTGACATTGCGTCTAATGGTATTTTGTCTCACAACGCTGATTCAGAAATCTTATGGGAGATTTGTAACTGGTTTAGTTACACAAGAAAGAGAAACAAAAAACATTTTTACCTGTTATTATTAAATGTGTGCCTTTCATTTATCTATAAATCGCTGTTTTAAAATAATAATAAAAACGTTTATTTATACATACTACATAGATACGTGTATATATATATTAATCAGGGATTCTGCATAGACTTGGCAGCAGAGTTACAGAAGGCCTCATCGCGGCATTTTGATTATTACATTGATCTAGTAGGTGATAAGAATTACGGCTCCAGAAAAGAAGATTATGGATGTTGGGACGGAATGATAGGGGAGTTAATCAGCTCTAGAGGTTGTCCAAATGGCACGAGAAAGGTACGTACAAAAATACAATTAATATATTTAATGCCATATGGTAAAGAAGAAGTCAATAGAGGAATACATGTGTAAGCTACAGATTGTGGTTAAAAAGTTCTACTTGCAGATAGAATAACCTAAAATGGCGAACATGAAACGTGTTGCCTGTACTGTGCATCTTAATTTGAAGTCCATTGTGCATGATATTATGAAGAAGAAGTCATAAAGAATTTTGTAGTATGCCATAACATACATAATTGTGCCTAAGACCATCATCTCAGCAGGAAAAAATAACGCTTCTTGGCAGAAGCTGCAAAATCTATAATTAAGACTTAATTTTAATGTTAATAGTCGTTTCTAATAAGGTATTTTTGAAGTAAAATAATAAACAGGCATGTTTTGTTATATCATAGTGTGGCAAAACAACTTATTTCAGGCAAAAAAAACAATGTTTTCTTTCACTAAATGAAATTTATCTGTACTGGTATCCTTTTAGTTTTCATTCTTATCAAAAACAAGCAAATATGACCCTGCCTGTTGAAGAAATGTTTTGCACTAAGTACCTTTATGTCAATTTTTAAAATAGCGTAATTTTGATACACATAGATGTGTTAGCCATTTCGTTGCACAATTCATATGTAATGATGATATAGATAACTATACTGTTGTAGAAAGCTGACATCGCCATTGCACCCTTAACCATTAACGAGGAAAGGCAACGTGCTGTGGACTTCACCAAACCTTTTATGAAGACGGGCATCAGCATTATGATTAAGAAACCAGACAAGGAAAAACCAGGAGTGTTTTCGTTCATGTACCCGCTTTCAAACTCTGTTTGGCTGTGCGTTATGGTGGCGTTTGTCGCCGTGAGCCTGGTTCTGTTCTTCGTCGGGAGATGGAGTCCATATGAATGGGGGGATTTGGACCCTAAAGGAGGACTACCTATTAACAATTTTAATCTGCTGAATACATTTTGGTTTTCTCTTGGTGCTTTAATGCAGCAGGGTTCTGATACTTTCCCAAGGTTGGTAAGGGTGCTAGAGTACAAAATTAGATATAACAAAGAGACAAATGATTATGTTTGCAATGAACATATCGTCGTCCTAAGCACTCGGTAGTACAAAATGTTGTACGGTCGTACAGAACATGTACGGACATACCAGCCAGATTAATCCAGTTGGCAATTTTTGTAGTACCAAAATTTTGACATATCACTGAAATTATAGAAAACTTTCCTAATAACACTTTTTGATTGTTGTATGTTTTTTCTATTTATCAATATTTTCATCTTTACCACTGTAATTGAAAACGAAATCCCATTTACACTTCATATTGGTGTTGTTTTATGTTTTATAACTTCAAAAGAATCTATATAAACATTTTCATATGCAACTGACTGTTTCATGCTTTTTTTTAATTCGTTTCTAGCAGAAAGTCACACTAAAACACTGCTTCTGTTTTGTTTCCTTGTTTTAATTTGCATTAATTTTTAAAGCATGAATTGTATTTATTACCATACTTATGTTAAAAATATGATTTTTTTGTTAGTTTTAGTTTTACTTTTTACAATATGATTTTGTCACTTTGAAGTTCTTTTCTTCAGTTTTTGTTATCAAAAAAACTAATACGATTTCTTTTTTATGATAATTATATCGAAATTTCACCAATTAACGTACCCAAAGTTGTATCAATGAACGGTTTATACAACTCTTTTTCTTCTAAATAGGGCATTGTAGCAACTGCATGCATAAATTAACGAACAAACGGACGAACGAACAAATAAAAGTAATAAATTTCAGATTCATAAATTTACATGTGATTTTTTATCGTATTATAACACTAGATTAATACATTTGCAAGAAATTTCAACCTTTCTATCTAACAATGAGATATCATGTTGTTTTTCTTAATTGCAATTATATCTAAAATATATAAATGCAAACATTTAAAGTCTGTTTATGTTTGCTGCTTATATACATGCATCAGGGTGTACAATCATCAGAAAACACCTTAATTGTTTATTTGTGTTTTATTTGTTTGTTTGTTTTTTGTTTTTTTTTAACTTTAATTAGCGTATTTGTTGAAATATTTTATTATTTATTTGCACATATATATTCGCTTAGTTTGTCACCACTGTGTATGCCTTGCTTTGATATTTTGATTACTTTTCATGATAGACCACAAGTGTATGCTGCATATATTCAAAAACACACATCCATAGTTAACCAAAACACAAAAATTGCCAAATATGTAAGAGTATCGAGAATTTATCAGTCCCTGGATGCATTTTCACCTTACTTTTATATAATATGGTTCTTATAAAGGTTTTTCAGCACTACTACAATTACCCATTGTGTAATAGTTAATAATGTGTAGGTTTACATTATAAAACTTTTCTAATAGTTACACTGGTTATAAGTCGTTTTCTCAAAACAGCTGAGTACTATATATGTATGTGTCAATAAGAACATAGTTTAGGCTAGCTACTTGTGGCCAAGGCCTGTAAAGCTGCGCATAATTATTATAAATAGCAGTACATCAGATTATTCTTCACTTTTTTTAAACATGTTTTTAATCATTTCAAAAACGTTACATGATTTATTCTGCAGATCGTATTCAGGTCGAATAGTTGGAAGCGCGTGGTGGTTTTTCACCCTTATTCTGATATCGTCCTATACCGCTAACCTTGCGGCATTTTTAACCATAGAGCGTCTAACTCCCCCGATTTCCGGAGCAGACGATCTTGTCAAGAAAGGAAGTGACATGGGCTATGGGACATTGAACAGTGGATCTAGCAAAACTTTTTTCGAGGTAGTATGTTCTAATTATTTTATTCTACAGTGTATTAGTTTATGTTTATTTAAGTTAAGTTATGTTTATTAGATTTTGAAGACAACTGATTCTGCCCATGCGACCAGTGCAGACCAAAATTAGCAGGCTTATCCGTGAAGTCTGATCGTGATCGGCATTATTTGCTATTCAGTAAGACCACATTTTGAAATATACATGGTGCTTCAGAAGGGCTTAATTTGTTGATTATGTGTCGCAATATTCCGAAAGATGCAAGTTAAGCCAATAAACATTTTCAATAATGAGGCATTATGTTTTAGAAAGAAATAGTTTTGTGCAGCACTTTAGTTCGTTTCTGTAAGTATACAATTATATGTTTGTTCATACCATTGATCGTAAAAGTGCCTTAAAATTTTGAAACGTAAATTATTAGACAAAATGAATGAAGATAATTGAGCCGCGTAACGACAAAACCAACATAAAGGGTTTGCGACCAGCATGGATCCAGACCAGCCTGCGCATCCGCGCAGTCTGATCAGGATCCTTGCTGTTCGCTATCGGTTTCTCTACTTGTTATAGAGTTTGTAATGAAACAGCATGGATCCTGATCAGACTGCGCGAATGCGCAGGCTGGTCTGGATCCATGCTGGTCGCAAACCCATTATGTTGGTTTTGTCATGACGAGGCTCATATTTACTCTACTCTTTTATTCATTCATAATTATTAGTAATCTGTTCTATATTGATCAGTTTCATGTTGTTAATTTTTTAATTTATCTTGAAATATTGAGTTCAAATCGAACTGTATACATTTTCAGACGTCAAATGTCCCTACTTATATGAAAATGTGGAATTACATGGAAGCCAATTTCGATCAAGTGATGACGACGGATGTTAAGAAAGGGGTTGAAAAGGTTCGAAATAGCAAAGGAAAATATGCTTTCTTATTGGAATCAGCTTATAATGTGTATCATAACCAAAGAAAACCATGTAATACCATGAAAGTGGGCCATAATTTAGATAGCAAAGGATATGGTGTCGCCACACCGCAACATTTCCATTTAAAGTAAGTTTATAAGAGATTTACCGAGAGATCTGTTTTTTATCAGGTAGATACTATTTGTCCCGTTTTTGTTTTTATTGAATTATGAAAGATACAGGTATGACTATCTGCTATTAGATTTTTTATGTACGGAGAATATTATTATAATTGTTTTAATTTTCCTATTTTCATTTTGACTAACAGGATGTGAATTATACATAATAAAAATTTGACTATAAATATAACACTAGAGTAAATAATTTAAATTCGTGTATTTTTCTAAAATAACCCTTAGCTATGGTATGTAGTGTTTTAGCTCCGCGGGTCGCCAGTATTCGACAAGTAGCCAATTTGTCTTTTTACATGTTTTCGCGTGGCACCTCGCAGAGCGAACGTACGACTATTTGTCACTAAGTTGCATTTTCGTGTTTTTGTCTGCGCTGTAGGGAGAAAGGCAAAAAAACACGAAAATACGACAGTATAATCATTTTCGTTTTTCTCTGGCGCCCCATGGAGAAAAAAATACAACATGGCAGTTAAACAAAAATGTTGGTGTTCTTTTAATTATTATTCATACCATTATCATTATTATTTGAAAAAAATACATCTTGACATAAATAAGCCACACTCGTCAGAAAAAAATTGTTGTATGCTCCAAGTTAAAATAAAGTTATTTGCCTTTTATTTCCATTTTCAGAAATCAGTTAAATTTAGCAGTTCTCAAATTAAGAGAAACCGGTCAGTTGATGAAACTGGAACAGAAATGGTGGTACTCTAAAGGAATGTGTGGCACCAACAAACAGGTAATTATAAATTAGAAAGAAGAATATTCTGAAAACAAAACTTTTGAAGACGAAATTAGCATACATTTTTGATAATCAAAACTTAAAAGTGCATTATATATTTAAGTAATATATATGATGATTGTATATATCTCATGAATCAAGAAAGACTGCTTTGAATCAAGAACATTGGAAACAAAGGTTCGGTATATGGCACAAAATGTTTTTGTCTAAGCGTAATCAGCGAATGATTATGCCATTGCTCAACGATTTATTCCTGTTCAAATAAAGTTTTTCTTAAAAACAATAGTAAATAACAATTTTACTGTCACTATTTTAGAATATGTTCCGATCAAAATACTGACATTTATAAAACTAAAGGTTCAGTTCGTTTTTGGGGGATTTTTTTTTTCTTGGTTCGACAATCGTCGAATTTCACATGTTGTTGATTTTTTTTACAAATATTATTGAATTTTAGTTCTATATTTCACCAAATTAACACTTACATTTTCTCTAATGACGACAGCACTGCAACACTACCTTTCGGTATATCCAGCCATTGCACCAAAATTCATAGTGATCCAAAATCACTTTATAAAGATTAATCCAAACTTTAGAACACTGCTTATTAATAGAAATACATCCATAATCACTTTCTGTGAGTTTATACATTAGGCTATAATTGACAATTAATTAAAATCTGCACTTCTTATAAAAAAACAAAGACTGTCGTTTGCCCGATATTATGTATGACAGGTGCCAAAAGCTGCTAGCTTTATGAAATAGACATCATTTTTATGTTTATTGCAGATTATCAATAACACAGGTCAAGTATATTTTAAATCTCATCTGTTTATTGAAACAAAAGTATTATAGATATATTTTAATTATGCTGCAGAATAATTACACCTAATAAAAAGTTTTCATACTGAACGAAATAAATAGATGGTTAATCTATTTTTATGGATTGTGATTGTTCGCCATGCACGTACAGCTGTGTTTACAAAAGTTCATACCTTATGTTTTATCATGTATGATACACTGACAGAAAATAAAGACTTTGAATTAGAATTTGAAATTCTAGTTTGTTCGGTATTTTTATTCTAATGTCATCAAATTTTAGCGTGTTTTTTAATATCATCGACTTCTAGATTTTTGCGATTATCATCGAATTTTAAGGTTTTTGCTCAAAACAATTTGATTTTTAAATGTTTTTAGCCGATTCTAAAAAAAAATTCAAATATCATCGAAATTTAGTTTTTATGTAAATCATTGGATAATTTTGACGTACACTGTGTAAGTATGGTTTGAGTCGATTGTATATAATATTTTTTTCAAATATCATCGAAATTTTGTTTTCACATAAAACATTATATGAGCCGTGTCACGACAAAACCAACATAATGGGTTTGCGACCAGCATGGATCCAGACCAGCCTGCGCATCCGCGCAGTCTGATCAGGATCCATGCTGTTCGCTTGCAAACCCTATAACAAGAAGAGAAACAGATAGCGAACAGCATGGATCCTGACCAGCCTGCGCATCCGCGCAGTCTGATCTGGAGCCATGCTGGTCGCAAACCCATTATGTTGGTTTTGTCGTGACACGGCTCATATAATCATGACCAATAAATGAGCCGCGTCACGACAAAACCAACATAATGTGTTTGCGACCAGCATCGATCCAGACCAGCCTGCGCATCCTCGCAGTCTGATCAGGATCCATGCTGTTCGCTATCAGTTCCTCTACTTGTAATAGAGTTGGTAAGCGCACAGCATGGATCCTGATCAGACTGCGCGGATGCACAGGCTGGTCTGGATCCATGCTGGTCGCAAACGCACTATGTTGGTTTTGTCGTGACGCGGCTCAAATTATTTTTCAGGATGCCACGACGAGTGCTCTAACCCTCAGTAATGTGTCAGGAATATTCCATATTCTTGTAGGGGGTTTGTTACTCTCAATGATTGTTGCCTTATGTGAATATGTTATACATCAACGAATACGAAAACTTCGTGAAAGAGGGAGAATGAAAAAGGCAAAGATAAAACTTTATTTATATATTTGTTTTCTTTTGTTTCACTTAAAGTTTGTGAAAAAAAGGGATTTTTTTTGGGGAAAAAGAACAACGCTTTAAAATTTTTTTCCCCTTTCCCAAAATGGAACGGGTTAAACCAAAGGGGGAAAAGGGGGCTTAAAATCGGAACCAACGTCAAAAAAGTAGTCGAAAATTTATAATGGAAATATTTTCAAAAACATTACGGGAAAATTTTTATCAGTTGAAGCTTTTGGGTCAAGGTTTTTGTTTTTTTGGGGGAAAAATGTAAAGGGATATAATAAGCCATAAAAAAGGTAAAGATATTTAAAGGGGGGAGAATTGCCCAAGCTAGGAAATTCTTTGCCATCGCTGAACAATATTTTTTAATCATAAATTTTGTGGTTTTTTTACTTTTTAAAAAAATCATAATTGAAAAGTTGCCCTCAACATCTTTTTTTTAAATTCAGAGGTTTTAGTCGGTGCTTTTATCACTTTTCTACTTTGCGAAGTCTGATAAAAAAAATAATGTATGAAAAGATTAGTGGTTTGTTACCAAGGCGACTAGCATCCTCAAAGTAACGCCACATATGAAAGAGCATTAACTGTCACCTTTAGAAAAATAATGCTTAACAGAAGCCTGATAACGGTAGTATTGTTGTAACATGCACCTAAACAGATGCAAATTTATCAGTGGCATTTACTTCCAATTACTATTTGGGTTGACTTTTTTAAAAAGCTTATACAGAAAAGATAAAATAATAATTTTTTTGTCACAATGAAGCTCCAAACCCGTGCATTTTGTAAAAAGCCCCTAAAGTTAAAAGAAAAACGGGGTTTGTGACAAGAAAAATTTTGTTGTGTTTTTAAATTTTTTCTGTCTTAAAATTTATGAAAAAGGCCAAAAACTATTTTGTTAATGTTTTGAAAAAATAATTCGTATTTTTTCGGTATTTATTTTGAAAATAAAAACGGAATTTTTGTGGGTTTTTTTTTCCCCTAATTCGGTCCCATTTAAATCAAAACATTTATTATTTTATATTAATTTAATATAAAATTTTTTATATTTCAATTAAAGAAAAAAAATCAAAAGCTTTTGCACGGATATACTTGCAGGTAAATATATATCATCCAGTTTGAAGCTTATTATTGCAAATTATTGGTTTTAAATATAGACAACCTATAAACCACCCCCTTTAAAATTTTTCGTTTTAAATAAAAATTCAGGGTTGGGAACATTAAATACATTAAAATTTTTAAAAAGTTTTTTTCAAAGTTTTAAAAGGTTTGACAGTATTCTAAAATTTTTGTATAGCGTCATACGACATTAAATCATTTCGTTTAGGGTTTACCTCTTTCTATCATGGAAAACATTAAACACGCCTATTATCCATCCAACATGTTTATTCATATTTATGATTATGACTTTTGTCATTGGTTTATATTGCTTTGTATATTTCGAATGATGTTATATTTCAGCATTGTATATATATTGCACCTTTTTTCTTCAAAAATGAATAAAATTTGTTTGTTTTGATTGTATAAGTTTAATAGGTCGCTCGTTTTCAATTTGTTGCAAATGCTATACATCCGAGTACATGTAAACACTTCTGGAATTGTTTGAATTTAACCACTGACCTGCTGAATTGTTTTTTAAATGGACTTGTCCAGCGTCCATCTTTTAAACTGTCCATTAGCATTGTATGGGTAAATTAGGATGAAAATTTAAAGTTGTTACATGTTAAAACCAATAGAAAAGAGCCTGGTCAGACTGCATCAATGTGCTGGCGGCTGACACCGCTCTATACTAGTGGCAAATGCTAATAAAATAACTGTAGCTTACAAAAGGGTGACGATCAAGAACTAAACTTATATTTGTTAAAATTATGTGTACAATCGAAGGTAGAAAATGACTGACACAAAGGACAAATCAAACATTCCCATTTTATTATTACTTGTTTTGGAACATTACCGTGGAGAAAAAAAAATTCCTGAGTCTTCCATTGTAGAAAAATGTTAAATTTCAATGTATAGTTTACATTACATAGTTTAAAATCGTGGTTTTCAAAACCGGTAATTCGATTTGCTTCACCTTAATTCCAGAGTACAAATGCGCGTGTTATTTGTGTTAAATTTCAAATAATTCAAAGGTTACGTTCACTCATTTCATATCAAAGTGATTCAATGTTAAAGGAAGATGATTCACCGTTAATAAAGTGTTGATATATTTATATGTTTTAATATTCATACAATTGTATGATAAGGTGTGAGAGTGAGAAACTAATGTTTAATTCGTAAAACTTTATATGTTAAGACGTTTTTAAACCATAAATTGAAGAATGTGATTTAAAAGAATATACAAATATACAAATATGTAAGAAAAGTGAAAATAACATCAAATCGCTTCGTTGATTAGAATTATTAAGACACACTAAGGAATCAGGACAACTATTCATAATTAATGTATACTTTTTTTCCGGAGACAATTTATAGAAAAAATATTAAATGTTCTTTACGGGACTCCACTGAGGTTTTTTTTTTTACTTGACGGGACGGGAAATATTTTTACCGAGTTTAGTGTAGCATTTGATGTAGGTTCGGATCAAATACTTGCGTGCAAAAAAGTTGTAGAAAATTTGCTTATCCGGGTTTTTCACAATAACCATTTCTATTGTGCAAATATAACCATTTCTATTGTGCAAAATTACATAAAATGGATAAGCGTTAGAGCGTTTTTTTACACAAATCTGGCAACAAAAGCACGAACACATCGATATTCATATCAATTCTGACTATATTTCTTTATCATCTTTAGCAAATTTTTCCATTTTAAGTGCTTCACCTCATCTATTTAAAATGTCATTTTTTTGTTATTAGGCTTTTTGACCTTAGTGGAGCTCCTTTAAGAATTCATTTACTTGAACAGTGATTTATTTTACGACAACTTCCCCAGTTTACACATTAATTTTGTTAAACTTTGCTGTTTTTGTCTTAAGTCAACAATTGTCAGCAACACTATTACAGAGGCATATATCTTGAATTAACCTGGTCTGTAGCTGTGCCAAATTTTAACAACTTGGTTGATAACTTCTTCAAACACATATAATGTCTACAACATCCTAACTGGTAAATGGGTTGATATGTCATTTGATATGTTATAAATATTTTTGTTTTTCACTTCTAGTGATATCTTTTTCTGCATGTAAATATCTTTTGAATAAATTGCATTTTGATAATGGGCTTTCACGTATTTATTCTTTCTTGAAAATATTGAAGACTATTTATTGCGTTCTTCACTAGGCTTAGTGTTGTTATATTGTTCTGGTCCTTCGACATCACTGATTCCAGCACGTTGAGTGTTGAATATTGAATAAGTCTAATGCCGGTGGGGCGTGAGAGATCTTGCACTCTTTCATTATCCCTCATGTACAGACTCAATTAAACAGTTTCTGTCTGCAATTTTCATGTAATTTTGCTGAATTTTATGCTTCCAAGAAATCACTTTTTTCCAGATATATAAGCTATATATTGGAAAGTATTGATTTTGATTTATTGGTTTCAATTAAAGGTTGACTTTAGTTTTGATTGAAGAGGATAAATCAAAAAAGTTCCTGGCACGATGTTCTACGGTAGTCAGAGCATCCAACTAATGGTCTTACTTTTCAATATAATCGCCCTCTACATCAATGCACTTTGCCCACCTGTGCTCAACTTGTTTAACCCTTCAAAATAGAACTCTCTATTTTGGTCCTACTTTTCCTACCTAAAAGAACTCATTGACCGCCTCTATGACATATTCCTTGCTTCTAAAACGTCTACCACTAAGCTTGGTTTCAGTTTCGGAAATAGGTAGATGTTAGAGGGGACAAAGTCCGGAGAATATTGGGAATGAGGAAAAATTTCAAAACCGCAGTCAGTTGCGGCAGCCATCGCGACTTGGGATGTGTGAGCTGGCGCATTGTCGTGCAGGAGCCGCCTTGAGTCAGTTTGCCCCTCCTTTAACGCGCAATTTCTTGACGCAGACGTCTAAATTCGTCTGCATAGTACGTACCGTTTATGGTACGACCTTGCTCAAGATAGTCAATCATGATTATCCCTTGACTATCCCAAAAACATTGAAGCCATCATCTTCCCTGCTGATGGCGCTCTCTTGTATTTCTTCGGAGGGGGGCGAGCCAGGGTGCTTCCATTGCATTCTCTGTTTTTTAGATTATGGAATGAACTGTGGACCCATGTTACGATCCAGTAGATAAAATCAGGTTCATCCTCGTAGCGAGAGTAAAGATATCTTGAAATGTCAAACCTGGTCCGTTTCTGGTCGTCAGTCAACTGTTTGGGTACCAATCTAGCGGAAACCTTTAACATGCCATAGACATCAGTCAGAATTGCCTGAACTGAAAGCTTATACCCACTTCCCTAGCAATACTTCGCAGGTCTCGCCTTCTGTCGCACATGACCATATCGTGCACAGCTTCGGCAGTTTCATCTTTGGTGGCCTCTTTTGGGTACCCAGGCCGCTCATCATCTCCAATGGCCTCCCTGCCCCTCTTAAATTCAGCAGCCAATTTTTTCAGTGTTATAGGAAGGGGACTCCTTCCAAAGTGTATCCATGAAGTCTTCATGGGTTTTGGGGTGGGGAACATCTCTGTCTTACAGAGGTACTAAATGACGACTCTCTCTCTCTGATTTCAACTTTCACCATTTGACTAATTGACACACCCCTCTACTGATCAAAGTGTGTTTTATGTTACTTAGTCTATGTAAATCCGCGTGTAACTCGGGTCAGTAATCTTCAATAAGATATCGGTATAGACGTATCGTGTGTAAATGTCAGTATAGTGGCTAGAAATATATCGGGCCGAGAACTTTTTGATCATACCTTGTATAACCCTCATACTGTTTTGTATACTGGGCTTATTTTGTTTTCACTTTAATTGTGTGTCAATTGTTGTTTGAAAAGGGATAATTACAACAAAAATGATATTGAAGACCGTAAAAATTGTTTTGTCTGTCTCTGTTTTGTCGGCATAGACACTATAACATAAAAGGGAGAGTTGCATTCACGGAAAGAGAAAGAGCCTCCATAAGTTCCCAATCATACAGAACCTCTAGAACGGTAACCAACAGGGCACCGGGCAGAAATGAGCAAAATGAAATCATTGCCCAAATCAAGCCTTGCCAATTTATTAGGTAACTCAATGTAGTTTGATTATCTGATTATCATCGATTGAATTATGTTATCTAAGAAACTTTACATGAACTAGTTTTCCGTTGTTCCGAAAATATCGAAATATATGTGAAAGCATAATTTTATATTGTACTCTACTGACACCAATATACGAGTCATCTAATTTAAAACAAATGATAATATTACTTTACAGACATGCTAATGTAGACTTCAAGTTTTAGGGTCGCAAAATCAAAATTTAAGTATCGAAATTATCATTTATAAAAAGTCAATTCATGTTTGCAGACGTATTAAATATAATATATAATATTATTGTCGTGAGAAAATACTAATGTTGGCACTTTAAATCAATAAGACACCATAAGAAAGCATAATATGGCACAAAGCAACGAAGCAATTTGGCCCCGTTATACAACAAACAAATAATGATCTAATAAAGACGGGAAGTAAAAAAGAAAAATGATTTATTTTTTCTAATAATGACACACATGCAAGATAGTTTTATTATAAATAAAAGCAAAGATTTTGAAGCGTTAAGACCAAATAAGTTTTATTTATACTAATATTTTTGTTTATTCTGTTAATAACTCAATCAATCGTTTGGACATATCTACTTTCAAACTGTGAAGGCATTGAATAATTGGAACAAAATATGGCAAAAACAAATGTATGTATATTCAGATAAATCAGTAAAAAAATCATAACTTTGTAATTTATGCAGCAGACTGGTAATAAACGTCCAGAACAGTAAAATTGAAAATAACTTACATGTATTCGTTGTTAAACACATACTTCTGTCTTATTTTATAGAGATGAAAAACATTTTCGTAAATTATAACAATGTGTCTTGAAGATTTTATATATCACTGATAAAACTCAGTATTTTACTGATAAGCGCAAAATCAAATTACAGCATGGCGAATTTTTGCTATTTGGCCAGCGAAAAGCCCTTAAAAGTTTATAGATTCATATACTGAGGGCATATAATCTTACATTTTAATTGCATAGTTTGCTTTTGTCAAAATCAGGATAGAAAACAAACAGATCATATTGTGTAAACTGGCAGTAGTTTTCGGTTAAGTAGAAAAACGTTGGATACACGTTTGACAGTGTTGTCAGCCAAATAGGCATCATAATTGTCACCCGTGATTCTTTTTTATAATTGAAAAGAATAAGAATACTTATGTATTTAAAACAAAAACGGATCTAAATCTTGCTTGTTTGTATGTTTGTTTGGTTTATATGGCGCAACAAAACATTTTAGGTCATATGGTGCCGGAACAGGAACTTTGATTTTGGCTATCCTCAGGTGTTAAAAAAATAGTAAATTAAATTTGATTTACATGAAGGTTTTGTTAAACTTACAGTGATCCAATACTAGTTAGTATTCAAGTTAGCCATAGATGATGATTTAATGATGTGTTTCTATATATACAAAGATTCATTAAAATATTGTCAAAATATACACAAATATCTCTTCCAATTCCGCGTTACGTAACACATGTTTAAAAAAAACATAAAAATGATGACAATTTCCGTGCTTTGTCTACATCAAAAACTTTTTTCGTTTACATACAAATGTTCCCCCTCTTTCATTGAAAATCTAATATACAATTGTTATCCTTTATCCTTTACATGTGGTTTTCCATTCATTGTTGACTTTGAGTCGCTTGGCGGTTTTTTATCCGTTGGACTCGGCTTGTCTTTGGCGTCATTTTTTGCATTGTCTTTAGAAGCGTTATTAGCTTTCTCTGGGTCCTTACCCGATGGTCTCACTTTTGCTTTCTTGTTTACCACACACACAACTGTTACCACGATAATAATAATCAGTCCGACAATTCCAGCAACAATACCACCAATCAACGCAGCATCTAAATTTGAGAATTTGAATGAACAGCATCATTGAATTGTAATATAGTAGATAGGATTTGAAGACATGTACTATGAACCTCATGCGAGTCTCAAAAACATATAAACAAAATAAATATTTGTATGCGTTCTCTTGTCGATTACATAAAAAAACTAATATACATGTTTGACTGACTGGCTGACCGACTGACTGACTGTATTACGTCAAATGTACATATTTTATATCATTTAATGTCTAAATATACCATAAAGTGTACATACCTACAGATGATCCACCAGTCATAGCACTCATCGTGCCATTTGAGGGGTCCTTAAATGATAATGTCGTAAATGTTAAGTATGAATTCTTTTTCACATATAAAAGAAATAATATTTTGGCTTGTTAATTCTTAAATAATAAAAATCATTGATTTATTATAACAATTTGAACGCGTTATTTTTATTTTTGTTTGTTTGTTCTGTATATTCGGGTGTTACCCCAATTTTAATAGATTTTCGGTTATAATATGGCGGCCAGATCACATAATCCGCTGAAGTTCCTGGATAACTAACCAGCAATAACCATTTTCTTCGCACATGACTGACAACTTATACCACGTGATTTTTGACAGAAAAAAAGACCGTTCAAAGTCCGAAGTCGCTTCATCCGTTTACCTTATCATTGACAACAATGTATAGCAGGATATTTCTATTATAAGATATATGAAAAATTGTTATATTAAGTTTTAATTTAAGTGCAACATATCGTTTGACTTTGTAATCGAATTGTTGCTATTTTGTTATATTACAATGAATCTAATGACATTTTCTCTTACATTCATCATATTGTTATATTTACGTAGAAATGTCTGTCGCAAATTAGTAAATTTAAGATACACAACCATCCCTCTGTTATTACTTACCTGGTCCGTAGAGAGGTCAGGTTTGGCGGTTGTTTTATCATTTTTGTCTGTATTTTTGTCTGTTGCAACAGGGGCAACAGATGTTTCAGTGATTTTAGTTTCTTTTGTAGTTTTCACATCGGTGGTAGTTTTATCAGTTATTGTAGTTTTTACCTTTGGACTTGTCTTAGAGGTCTTAGCCTTCGTGGTAGTGGGCGTTGTGTTGGGGTCGCCAACGTAGTCGATCTGGACCTGTAGAGACCCGGTGCCTTCGGCTCCACAATGATCAGTTACCTTGAAGTCAAGTGTGACTGTTTGTCCGCCTACTGGAACAGTTATCGTCGATTGCACTATGACATCTCCTGGGGTTCGTAAATGGATGTTTAATAAACATTTATAGAAACATGTTTTTATTATCAACAGATAACTGAACATGCAGTTTATTGCGAATAAGAGCATTTTGAGAATTAAACAATTGAAAACAAAATGTATGTACGGTTTTTAAGCGGGAAGGGGTTGGGACATTTATATTTATTTATTCATTTATTTATGCATTTATTTAATTATTTATTTATTATGACTATTTTGAAAATAAAAAGGCGTTCTCTTGCGTTAACGGTTGTTTTCTTTTGTGATTATTTTAAACAAGTCCTGGTAAAATATAATCAAATTTTATCTCCACGGAAAAATTCTTTTATGACAATTTCTATCAAGAGCTTTCCTTACAGATTTAAGATTGTCTATATGTTAGCTTCAGGCAGGCTTTTGATGAATGTTTCATTGAAATTCCTAATCGAATTCGCAGTCGCAATTGAAATGCTCTTTTTCTATAGACGGTGTTTTATATGAGTTTCTACAATATCAAAATATTTTAATATAGATACACTTTAAATATTGAAAGGAAATAAAATTATTCTAACATCCAAAAGCTGGGAAGATCCAATTGGCAGGCTAAAATTTTACATGAAGTGCACATAAATAGAGATAGTACCTGTCTGGGTATTGAACATAAAGAAATCATTTTTAGTAGTCATTTCCATCTTTAAATCTGCCACATCAGCTGGATCCGCGTCATCTACCTTTACCGTATAAATTGTAGTCCCCACGTTGATATCCATGCTGATTTTCTTATCCGGCATTGGATCAAATTTTGGAGCTGTGTCTGGAAAATGTATAACATGTATTTGCATTTAATACAAATATACCAACTGTGTACGTGTATGACTTGGCATACTCATGACTCGATCCTATTCTTAGAGAGCTTAGTGGTTCTGCCTAAACAGATCATCCCCCGTTTTTTAGCGATCATTCAAACGGAAAGTCATGAAGTCATATAATGCATATACATTCATAATGTATATGCATTATATCCTTTTTTACTGATATCTCATTTTGCAAAGATTATAGCTTGAATTGATTATTGTCTTCAAAATATTAAACAAAATAGCTAATAACAAAATGATAATGAAAATGGTTTTACCTACGTACTATAGCCACAACGTTAGGTCATGCATACACTTTAAAACTGTGCGATTTTCTCTAATAGTAAAAATATATTTACTTGGTGCTAATGTCGCCTGAATTCCGTACGTTCTTGACCCTTGGTCAAGACCTCCGCTAAAATCTACAGAGTCTCCGACTTTGAGATTATCATCGTGGGCAACTTTCCATATACCGTCATATGAAGTCCCGTCGGTATACTCAATCAGTGAGTCCCCGGGAGCGTACCTTGAGAGCAAAACAAAAACAAGTATAAAGTTGACACCAATATTAACATTTCACTTCAAGAATTATTACTCACACACTGCCACGTATACTTCAATATCATTTAAGAACTATGATGATACACACAACAAAACATTTAATTCAATTACCGTATTCTAGATCTTTATACTTAACTAACTAATCATCTAAAATAAATATAAACGTTTATTATAAAAGAGTTACGGTTATAAATACAATTGTATCGTTCGTTTATGCAACAAACCATTTTGACAGTATTCCATAACATGTACGATTGTGAGACTTTCAGAAACATCGATTTTCATTATAGACTCTAGTTTGTTTGTTTGTTTGTTTGTTTGTTTGTTTGTTTGTTTGTTTTCGAGTTTTCTTTCTTCTCTTTTGGTTTTTTTTTTTTTTTTTTTGTTTTTAAGTCATTTACATATATCCACATATTTTTATTCATTTTTTTAATCTTAATAATCATGTTAAGGTTTAATGCAATATTTAAGCATTTGAATTTTTCATATAGAATTTTAATGTTACTTTTGAAGCCATATATCATGTTATCTATTATTTTACTTACCAACCAATGACGTCATCTTCTTCAGTAGACAAACGTTCTTTATCTGGGACATCAAAGGTTACAAAGCCACTTTTTCTATTTTTATCTGTACAGAAATAAAAACATAATAACATATGATCTATTATACATCATGTTGTGGGAATAATAAGGAAAAATGTCTAGTTTCATAACGGGTATTTATTTAAACAATTCATTAAAGTATTTACATTTATTTTTAAGGTTTAACTTATTTAATGCCTAATGCACGTGTGACATTAGAATCTCGTTATATTTTGTATATAATTGTATTGATACATCATATTTGCCTTAAAATTGTTGCGTTTTTTTATCTCTACTTTCGGTTTGCTACCACTTTGTAGTTGTTATATATTACACGTTATAAAATCACTGCTAATCTTGCAAAAATGATTGAAAGTACTGTATCTGAAATGCATTTTGAATTTTGATCATAGATAATTAATCTAAAATATTTGAAATAACGGATACAGGATTTTATTTCAATTATATATAATTATATTGGAACACACAAATTTACAAAACCCCAGGTCTTGAAATTTAAAGTACATTTTCGTCAATACTTTATAATGCGACGGCAATAAAACTTATTCTTCCCGTGCGGAACAACATTCTTTATTGGTGGCAACGTTTGATATTGAATTGACATTTTAATGGTACATCATCTAACATCATTACTTTCTTTATACATTTCAATGATTTGATGTAGTGGACACACGAGCATTTTTCCGGGGCAATACTTGATCGCTTAGATACAACTGGGCGATACAGTAAGAACGGCAATAACATTAATGTGGGAAAGAAAATAAGGAATAGCCTAAACAATTCAATGAATTTCATTTCATTTTAAGTGAATATTTAAAGTGTCGGGGTTAAGTATAATCATGCTGTCGGTAATTGATGATGAAGTATTCATTTCAAGCAACTTGAGAAAAAAAGCAAACTCTTTCATCTTAAGTAAAAATTTTAGATAATCATTTTTTGATAGGAAAAATAACTAGTGTAATGTATAATAATCCCATTGAGAGAGTGGATGTGCTTCATATTTTATATAATGAAATAATATTAATATCAATATATTTTTACAAAGTAATGAAAAGTGTATCGAGGTGCATCTTTACAAAATAGATTTATTTATTTATAAATTTATTTATTTATTTTTATATTTATTTATTTATTTTATTATTTAATTATTTATTTATTATTTTCTAAATTTATGTTATTTTTTTTTATTTTACTTCATTACATAAAAGAAATTAATGAGTATATTACGAATTAAGATTAATATTCCATTTAAATTCATTACATAAAATAAAAATTTGAGTAAACCTGTATTAAGAAGTAAGATAAATTTATTGAACTAGCTGGATGAAATTATGTGATGAGAGCCTATTTTTTCAACCATTTCAATAAATTGAATAAAAAAGAAGCCTTACAAATACATCATTCAACTTAGCACAAACATTAAGATACTGTTTACAGAGAGACTAGAAGAATTGCCGCGCTTATAGTGCAACGTTCACAACAACAATCACTGTAATAAGAAGCCAAGTCACAATAGTTACAATATGCAAACTCACACTAAATATTATTTTCAATACGCTAAATAACGTCTTTACGCTTTGTATGAATAACGCAAATGACGTCACGTTAAAAATGCACGACCGTGCAATACTATTTCAAGCAGAATTGGTATGCAGTAAATCCCAAAATCAATTTATGAACTTACTTGTTACGGTGTATTCATTGAACCCAATTAGTTTGAATATTTTGCCTTTTTTGTCGACAGGTCGCCATATTTGTAGCTCTATTTTACCGTTGTCACCAATGGAAAAATCCCATCTTTTCACCGTACCACAACAATCAAACCTGTACAAGTCACCATATACTACGTAACCATATCCTGTTAAAACAAGAGAAGTAAATAATATAGATATATGTATGGATGGATGGATGGATGGATGACACCACAGACAGATTAATTAAAGAGCATACAAATTTATTTTACCATACATACCAAAACTGGGGATGACATAAAACTTGGAAATGCATTTCTTCCTATTTCCACGGTAGACCCTTTGTTAAAATTCAAGTTCAACAACACGATGTAAACATTAATCAAAACGACTTATTTTAAGTATGCTACCAGCTTTAATTATTGATATCAGGAAGAGAGTTATAAATATTGGCGGTGCCAAATAGTTAGTGATTGCTTCATTAATGAAATATAATGTAACTTTTCTTTTGTTTTGGATTTATTGGACAATATGTGTTGGTTTTGTAATTTGTCCTCTGATTGTTAGTGCATATTGTCATATGTTGGTGTCACAGTAGTTTTCTTAAAATGAAAACTGATCACGGTTAATTCAATAAATGAATTAGGACTTTTATACGTATTTACAGTTAATTATCATTCATAGTTAATTATAATATTCATAAACACTATATGACGTAATGTCTATCTATACCTTTGTCAGCGTCAAAAGCTTTGTCAAATGAATGTGGATCATCGGGACCGGCTGTGCTGTCGTCAGTACAAGCTGAAATGAAATCAGTGTTAACAATTGTAAAATCATCTTAAATATGCTGTGGTCAAACTCATATAAGGGCTTACAATGTACAAGTAAATTAAAAAGTCGATATCCGGACGCAGTTGAATACTGCAAGTTTGTTATGGCGCTTCTCGTTGGATAACCATGGCGTTGATATAAGCTATATACACGGCTGTTGTGAAATAAGGTAATTTCATGTTTTCCTTTAAAACAAAAGTTTGCTATATAATAAATTCGTTAATAAAGATTCCTAACTGATATTTTGGCCGTTAATAAACGTTTGTTTCTATTATTATAATGTATCCAATATAACCATACAAATATCCGTTAATAGAGAGGAATTTAACCTGTCAAAATATTCATAACTACAAAAGTAATACTAGTAGTTTAGACATATGAAGATGGGGTTTAAGCAACCCGCTTTACTAGAGATAAATTATAATAAAACATATACATTTCGCTGTTACTGTAAAATTCCAATAATTTGTACATAATTAAGTTTCAATAGAACTTTTATGACTTTGATCAACTATGGTATATTTATTTGATAAAAAATTATTGTTAATACTTAATAATTGCTGGCGTTTGATCCCAAATTACAAATAAAGCAGTACGCCTTTAAATACAAATTACGCTTAAAGCAGCACGTCTTCAATTACAAATTACGCTTAAAGTAGCCCGCCTATGATTGCAATTTACGCTTAAAGCAGCACACCTTCATATGAATAAAATTGATCTTCCAGAAATAAACTTTATACAAGTCATTTATAGTTTAAAAAGTGTTAACGCATTCAGGTGAGAGATACAATTTTTTGTGTGCAAAAATTGATATAATTATCAACACCGCCAATTAACCCCGTCACTAACAGATTAAGAGAAACATCTCCAAACGTTTAGTATTTTAGGGAATTTTTGTTGAAATTAAGCCTTATATCACGTAGAAGTGCAAATTCGGTAACATGAGTTTATTTCAAATTTCGTAACAACTAATACATATATACAGGCATGCTGCTTTAAAATTAAATAACAGAATTGAATAGAATCATAATTTATGACAAATTTTCGTGCATGATTTACGCTGAAATGAATTTAAACATGGAAAATTATCTAAAAACAATAAAGGCAGCCATCATCACAACCTCATTTTGATTAAGCAGTACATAATTTTTGTCTGAATAAAACGTTATAGCAAATTACATGTCATTGTCGCAAGTAAAAAAAAACAACAGAAACGAGTTTTCAGAACAGAATTAGGCCATAAAGATTTTTCATATAAGAATTCATAATAAAATGCTGAAATATAATATTAAAAAGTTATGTAATTCTTATCTGGATGGGGAAATAACGACATATAACACATATATCTTTTACATGTGGTATTAATCAACAGTTCAAGTTAATCCAATTTTGGTCAAATGCAGAAATACAGCAGAAATGATGTTTAAAAATATCAAAGCATCTTTTTAATATGTCAAAGTCATAGTTCGCTTTCAGTATTAACAGTTATAGCAACAATGTTAAAAAATTGATATAAAATAACACTCATTTACTTTATCATATTTCTCCGTTCATACATAAATATCGAAGACGCATTTTAATTTAAAATAGATTTTGTGTTACTTCTGTAAGATTGACGATTTTAAAAACAAAAAAGAGTTCTGTCTGTTATTCTGTTAAAGGGGGTGCTTTTTTCAGTTGGCGTTTCAATCAATTTCTTTTCAACGAAAATGCTCTCAACTCATCTGTTAATCAACACATGGTAAATGTGGTTAAATGTACCGAGATATTTGTTCAACGAAATCGTAACTTTACCTGTTCACATTCCTATATTTCAGACACTTATTAAATGACATTTTCATTAAGAAAATTTAAACGTTTAAGTTATCTTAAAATATATATAATAAACAAAAATTGGAAAGATAGAAGCTTAGGTGCATTTTCACTAACAGCTGTTATGAATATTTTAAAGCCATTTTGAGCAAATATTACTGTACTAAGCATATTATTTGTTAAAATAAAAGAAAATAATACACTTTGACCACATACAAATGTATAACTGCGTATATGGTTGATCTCAAATATAAAAACATAAGAATTGTGATTTTTACAAAAATCAAAATATTGTTAACAGGCACATAAAACTTTGGTAAGGACCACGGTCCTAAGATAAGCATTTGTGTAGTCCAAAGTTTTGTATGAAAAAAAGCAAAACTACTTCAAATGCGTGCCATTATTCACCTTTATTAATTTCATGACATCATACATGAGTATTTTAAAGCTTGAATACTATTATGTAAGAAAATTCTTATAGCAGTATAAAATTGTTAAATTTTTCACGTTTGAAGACACGGCTTCGTAAAAGCGAAAAATGTGTTTCCGATGTAAAATAAGGTATATAAGATAATTATTGAACAAGCATATTCTGATGGCATGTTATCTAATTTAAAATAATCTAAGGAATATGATATATATATGTCCATCGGGGAAAATTTTTAATCTGTTCTGAATAAGAAACCAACATTTTATCATAAACGTTCTGGTTATGATAATATAAGAAAATATAATAATGATTTTAATTGAAATACTTACAATTACCCTGAGCAAACGTCGTCTTGGTAAACAGAATAAAAACGAATAAAATGTCCAAATATCTCCGAAATCTCATGATGTACCAAGCGGAAATATATGCCAGTACTCGAACGACATTTGTGAGGCTGTGACGAGCTGCAAGTGCGGTAATGTTGTAACGCAATTACAAACTGGGGGAGAGTATAAAACGATCAGCAAAACCAGACCTTAGAGCTTTACAACCACAAATCTACATAATCTACAATCATTAAGTACTTAAAACAACCGTTCTTTCAGATCTAAGGTAAAAGAATTTTAGATAAACAACAGTACGGTCAAGACAATAAGTTGGCGACGATCGAAATACGCGAACTTAGTAGAACAGTAAGCAATAATTGTTGCTACGATCGCGGTAAACATCATCATCTATAACAACACCATTTCCATGATGAGGAATTTCACGTACTTTAATAGTAATAAAAGTTACATTAGAAACTAGCCGTACGGAGATTTCATCAGAGTTTCACAAAGAATTCAAAGGTTACCATGAACAATAAAACGTGTAACATTGCCGGGATTTTCTTAATTACCATGAAAAAGCAACAATATATCCGGCTATGTTAGAGCTTAACTACTGTTGTCAACGAGTCATAGGCAATATAGATCAGTAGAACAATTGTTATAAGTAATGGATCAAGTTGGGGAAAAACTTTCCAGTTTAATTCTAAATGTCTGTATTGATATGAATAATTCACGTTTAACTTTTCGAAATAAGATTATTGAAAATAAGACAGTAAAATAAATGTTTACATACATTGAACAGAAACAATTTTCATATTATAAAATCTCAGGAAAGAAAATGTTTTAAGTTTCAAGAAAAGCAATACAATTTTTTTTACGTTTTTGACCTGTTAAATATGCATACATAAAAGGTTTTGAACGCTAGATATAGAAATGAAATACAATGTATCTTTCTTAAATTTATTCTTTTTTTTTTTTTCTTTTATTTATTTATTTATTTTTTTTTTTTTTTTTGAATATCCGATGTAACATCGGTAATTTCGGCCAACTTTCCGAGAATTTATCCTGAATGAGCGTTTAAATGGTTGTAAACTCATATTTGCAACGGAAGCTCTGTGGTTAAAGTATTCGTGTTAAATGTATCGGGTCTACTTATCGAAGAAAAAAAAAGATTGTTTTTAAATGTTTCCTCCTTGTGTAATTATTCAAGATACGTGAAGAATAAAATTAATGGAAATTCACCGGATTTATGGCAACATAATTCAGCTCAAAATATATCAATCATTTCAAACGGATACATATTTACGGAAGATTAATGGGTCTATTCAGGTCGATCGCACGAAGGAGCTCGTTTGTTATCTTCCATCTGTGAAGTTGGAAAGTTCCACATAAACTTTCACAGTCTCGTTCTGTTTAAAAAGCAAAACAAACAAAGGAGCTGTGAAAAGTCATGATATATGTCCTCGACTCTCAAAAGCATAAGTACAATAATCTATTGACCTATAACGTGTACAGAAGCGTGAAATTGAATATATAGACTAAGTACATAAAACATAAAAAAGTAAAAAATTAGGTTATTGGTGTTCACTTTTCTGAATCCTAAGACTAAAAATGAATACTTTGATAATGAACAGATACAGTACTGGTAAACTGCTGGTAACTGCTGTACAGCCTGCAAAGAACGATGCGGTGGCTAAAATGTGCTCTGGTAAGTTTAATGTGGCTTACTAACATGAAAAATGAAAAGTGAAAACACACCTACACAACAACCAACCTCTGAACAGATACATATTTTTTTGAATTATCAACAATTGCAATATAGTTTAAATGCTTTGCGTTTTACTCGTGAAAAGTTGCTTGTGATGGTTGCTTGTGATGCTAAATTAGTATGACCTTACCTACCGTGGTCCTAAAATTTGTCGTGACTTTCATTGAATTAAAACGTGTGGTTGGCTGTATGATGACTTGGTTAAAAATGATAAAATGAATTAAGTACGACATAACCTAAATTTTGTGAAAGCAGATTATATACTAGTATTAATTTCTTTGAATTTGAATTTTTGGTCTTATGTTGCAACGGTGTTTTATGGGAAAAATAAAACAAAATAAAAGAAATCTCAATGGCCTAAGGCACTGGAAGTTATAGAATTACATTGTATGGTTCCCCATATATCCCGTTGAATTAACAATTTACTTAATTTAAAAAAAATACAAAATGAACGATGCATACATATAATGTATTAATTACACACATATTTTCTTTTTGATTACCACGTAGCAGCTTTACCTAATAGAAAACCACATAATAATAGATAATAATGAATATAGATTGTGCATATTAGAATAAATAAAATTCACGGATATTCAAAAAGGTGATGTTGATGGTGGTAGTTTACCCTCCAAATCTTGGCCAATCTTAATTAACCAGAGCAGAGTCCAGCCATCGCACTGTTCCGTGGCAGGCGGACAAGATGTTTATTTGTACATTTTTGCAAAGAACTGATAACATCTGTACATGCAAGAGCAGATATATCGTGTGCATGATCAACAACGAAGTTGTTGGATGTAGCATGAACATTTACATCAATACTTTACAGTTGAATGAAACCTTTCCGAAAAATGATATTTTGATTTACACTACCCTTCTTTTTAGCATTCGTTTTGATAAAATATATCCCATTTAAATAAAACATATGATAACGCATATCTTTAGCACAGCATTTGACAATGTTGAAAACGATTTTTGTTCCGACAACTTTAACGATAATATAAAAACATACTCGATACGTGAAAATTGCAATTACCGCGAATCCGATGAGTTTATATGGCGCCTTTCTAGCTTAACTCGTGGCGGAAGATCTGAGGTGTTCCTCCTTGCATTATTCTAGGCACAAACGAGCAACTGACGAAAACCACCCAGGTCCTGTAAGCTAGCTGTTTAGCTTCATCACACGAAAAAATCACAAGTCACTACTGGAATTCGAACCCACAGCGGTGAGGGAAAAGTGGTTTGAAGCCAGCGACCACTCTGGCGAAGATGACCCTACACCACTCCACTGACAAAATTTTAACAAGAAGCATAACGGTGTACGACATTGAATCCATGTACACTTTCTACTCACATACAATAAAACATGTATGGGGGGATTAGACACGCAATTCCTTACATAATGTTAAGAGGTTATAAACAAAGCATGTCAACAAATTAACATTTACGAAATTTATTTGGATTTTCATTTAAACTAACAAAAACCTGTTGCTTGGCGAGGTACAAAAAAAATAACATCAAAAATACCAGCATTAAGTAGTTTATAATTATTGAAAAGATACATGTTTACTATGTGTACAGTTATCAAAAATATAAATGGCATTTAACCCTCTCAATTGTAGGGTATCGATTTATTAAACGAATTTTCAAACAATATAAAATTAACTTTAATGTTTGTAAGGGCGTGCTTCTTGTTATTCAAATCAAGACAGTCGCAAATATGGTTCTGTCTTGTTTCATTCCTAAAATATTGATGAGTACGAATGAAATGGGTAGTTTTCTTTCAAACAAACCAAGAAAACGTATGCTGATTGTGTAATAACATGTAATGTATTTAAGTGTTCTCCATATGAAGAGGAACACTTTCATGCTAAATATATTGAAACAAATTTAAGGAGAAAGAAAGACAAAACATAAATATCTACAGGTTATACTTTAAAAGTATAATAACGTTTCTTGGTAGCAGTAACCTATCATTGCAGAACCACCATTGTTTACTGTATGTTACAGGGGCGTCCTTGGCCGAGTGGTTAAGGTCGTTGACTTCAAACCAATTGCCCCTCACCGCTGTGTGTTCGAATCCCGACAGGGACTTTGGAGTCTTTCACATGAGGAAGCTATCCAGCTAGCTTACGGAACGTCGGTGGTTCTCCTCAGGTGCCCAATGGTGCCTGAAATAATGCACGGAAGGGCACCTAGGTCTTCCTCCACCAGTAAAGCTGGGATGTCGCGATATGACTAATACTGTGTCGATGTGCAATTTGTATATCACAAATACAATATTTGCATTTTAATTAACAGTTTTGCTTGAAAAAAATGTAGTAACACAATTAATATATTAACATACGTATATGACAATGAAATGAATTACATGTATACATCATTAAATAAGTAGATGTCAACTATTTTGTCATCTATACAAAGTTATTCAAAAATGCAAAAGAAGTAACAAAACACTCAAAAGCCTTAGGCATTTAAAACATTCTTTCGATTTAAATAATTGTCAAACAATTTTATAGGTCAATGACAATTTACTTTTTATGCAAGTTATAACCCTTGTAATTTCATAAATACAAAACTTTCTCTTTCTTCTTCCTTTTGTTTGTTTGTTTAATTACAAAAGGAAAATCTACGTGTACCTATGAAAGGGTACATAGTGTTTGTCTTTTTCTGTCATTTTACACTTTTTCCCGACAGTATTTCAGTCATATAGGCGGATAGTTTCTTAACCATCGTTTCCGGAGAGTTATACCTGTACTAGACTACTTTCCTCCGTGCTAAACCATCAAAGCATCTCCCGGGATCGGACCAACGCATGAGATGTAACTGGATTAGAAGTCATCGACTCCAACCCCTCGACCACGGAGGCGATGATTTACAAGTAAAAATAAATTAATACTAGTAAAAAGATTTCTTTTAAAGAACATATTGCGTAGTAAGATCACGTGTAAGCAAAAATATAATAAAGATACAAACAAATCCAGGAATTAAACAAACAAAGCAATAAACATGTATAAGTTGAAGAAAAATAAGATAAAAAGCAATAATTTGTCATCTGCAACACAACCATACTTCTGCTGTAAAAGTTTATCAAACGTTACACAAAGACATACACGTAAAAGATGTTGATAAACTCATCAAATTAAACAGCAATAACATGATAACAAAACCTGTACGACTTTTGCAAAATATCTGAGTATAGTTGCCCACAATTTCAATGTGCAATATGTATTATGTCGATGGGAACGTTTTCAGATATAGAGTTAGAAGTCCATGGCAGTAACTGGTGCACCAATGTCACGTACATACTTTGAATCGTCACTGAAAATTGGTAAAAATAACAGCATTGATATGTCTATGATAAAGTTATATGAAAAGACATTCCAGATGAATTTTAATTTTAAGAAACATTTTGATTAGTTTCAATGTATGTTTACGAAGTGATAAAGTAAATGTCAGCATATACTAGTATTTTCATTATTTTATTTTCTTCAAAGTAATGTAATATATGTACATACATCATTGCTTGTAATGACTAGGAAATGTTTGTTAAATGTTTAGTTTTCCTAAACTAAAAATTTAAACAATTATATGTTCGTCTTTACCTATATAATTTTGAATCATCGGGCCTTGAAAACAAAGGACTGAACCTTTCAGCATCAATGGCCGCGATTGCTGGTCTTGAAAGCATTGCGTCTCCAGTTGTGAATTCGTACTTGTTTGTTTCATTAGTACCCCAAGGAAGATTCATTGCATTTGTAGCCAAAGAATTATTTTGGAAGAGCGATGGTGCATTGTTAACTTTCGTTGCCTTATTTGTGATACTTGTAGAATTTAATTTACGTTTTCTGCTGTTGGGTTTCGAAGGGTCAGATACATTATTCAGGTTGATTGTCGCTTCTAGAGGAATGTATTCGGCAGCAGGAGGTGGCTCGACAGTTACTCTTGGTGGAGCGTTGTAAGTAAAAGGCGAAGGAGGTCTTTCATCAGGCAGTGCTCGGTTCATCATTTCTGAACCTGGTCTATACCTAAAGTAAATATTCAATGTAAAATAAAGATACTCATAAATTTTGAAATACAGTTTCATTCAAATATATAATTTGGGGTTATATATTTTTGATTCAAAAGCTATTGTTTAAGCATTAGCCTTTCAATGGCACCTAAATCTAACCAGTTGAAGAGCGCAGATAAAGATTGGCACGCATCACCGTCTGATCGTTTCGGGCACTATTTGCTATTGGGGAGTTCTTAATTCAAAATTTTCCATAAAATACTTATAGTGTCACGACTGAGAAATTGACAAGTCAACTTGATATTTTAAACAAATTAAGGGAGATTCCAACATCCTGTGATGATACCCAGATTCTTTTGCGTAGTGAAATTTCACTCTTGATTATGCTAATATCATGTTCAAACACATCTGAGCCATTTGTAAAAACTCACAAGTAATATATATCTTAGTTTATAGTTTCAAATTTGACTTACGGATCTAGTTTATAGTTTAAAATTTGACTTACGGATCTGTATTTTCTTTAATAGTTTTATTTATAGCCCTTTTCATGTCCGTTACAGTTGTTCTATGTAGAAAATATGAAATAAATTATAATTAGATATAGATTTATCTAAATGTAATAAACAATGATTCGCAAAACTGTGAAAACTGCTTTAAGTCAATATGCAGTATTGATTATCTTCATGATCAATAAAAAAGCTTCGACATAAAAATGTATAAAGTACTGTATTAAATATCTATAATTACTTATTATTTAGTTGCGTTGTTACTTTTCAAAATAGCAAACAAAGTATCTTTTATTGTCCAAGACAATCAGATTATGCTGTAAGTGATTGTAGACTGCCGTCGTGAGTTAACGTTACATTCCTAAAAGGTTGAAAAGCATATCAATCTTTCTTTTTATCTTAAGATCTAATAAAATAAATTTAAAATATCTTTATTCATAGAAATCTTTTTTACAAGTAAAGCGGTGGCTTAGTAGTAAAGGCGCCAGTCTTTCGACCCAGAAATGATAATTCTGAGCCCTTCTGTGGCCAATGCCATGATGCTATGTTCCTTCTGTTGATAACAGTTCTAGTTAGCTCCGAGATGCGGAATTAAAGGTGGTATCCATGTGCTTTAAATTTCAGCATAAACGAGCCAATAGTAATATGAATATAATCAATAAAATCAATAATTAATCATAACTTAAAATCAGAATCGATATCATATATATCACTTACAGTTTAGGCTTAGGATTTAGTTGACATATTTCGTATGCCCTCATACGAACGCAAATTTGGATGAAAAACAGGAGGCAAAGAAAGCCTTCCACACATAGAATAGATACAACAGTAACGCCTATGTTGGTACAAAGGATGCACTTTGCCTTTTCTTTAGTTGGGATAGGTATCTCAAACGACGTCAGGTATGTAACATTTACGTTCACATGTGCATATTTAGGATCGTTTTCGCCATCTGATACTCGCACTGTGAATTCAAATGTAGCATTGTACCTCCAGTCGATGTAGTTTGATATAAAAAGACTTCCTGCACTACTGATTGTAAAGTATTTTGACCCTTTTCCAACTCCAAGGATTGAATATTCAAATACACCGTCATCTCCAAAGTCACTGTCAGTGGCAGTGACTGTGAACAACGGATCAATAAGAGTTTGATTACTATAAATTATAATGTCTTCAGATGTTGTACTTAAAACAGGCGAAAATTCGTTGACTAAAGCGATGTTAATTACGATATTCCCCGTACTACTCAGTCCATTTCCGTCATCACAAGTGATCTCTAGGGAGGTCGTTTGAGGAGGAACGACGCCATTTTCAAAGTCCCAATCTTGAGCGTACGTGATTATGCCTGTCGCGGGGTCGAGAGTGAAGTAGGCTATGTAAGTTCCAGACGATAGAGATATGGTCATAGTTTGTCCGTTGTCAACATCAGTACATGAATATTGCAAAGTGGCTACAGTATATCCTGCCTTAAAAGATAAAATAGCTTTAATAAGATAGGGCGATTATGAAAAGAAATAAATTCATATTTCTTTTTCGCTTCTAGACTTGTATCATTGCATAATAAGATTTAAAAAATGCGTCAAATTAAGGAAATGAATAAAAATACTTTTATTCATATCTTCCATACACATGATTTTCAATATTGCAGGTAAAGCGCAGATAACTTTTTCATAATTAACATTATTTTGAATTTGGCCATCTCCCACAGGAAAGAACACTTTCAGGTTTCCAATACATATTTTTTTAAATGGTCAATGTTTTCACTTACTGATTGTTCAATTGTATCATAGGTTGTCTGAAGTAATGTAAGTACTGGAGCTTCGTTAACGTCAGTCACGCTGAGGTTTAAGTATTTTTCTTCAAGTCCAGGTAAATATACATCTCTAACACTGAACAAAAACTCATAATGATTCAATGTCTCGTAGTCCAGAGCTTCTGACAATGTCAAAGTTCCGGCTGAAAATAAAGAAAAGTGTAATTATGAAAATAGTTTCAAATTAGAGAATTAAATACAGAAATACATTGACTCCAGGAAGACCTTACGATAGAAAATTGAATAATTTCAAGCAAAAATTATTACACAAAGAATACCAATAGCTAAAGACTTAGATGAATAATTGCCAGCATTTGAAGCAGTTTTGTTGACAAATGAAACAACAATATCGAATACGTATTTCGTCATTCAATTGCACATTGACAATATTGTTTGTCTAAAAAGTTGACCAAAAAATACCACAGCAGCTTGTAAAATATAAAAAACAAGCATTTGATAGTATTGCGGGCAATACAGTAGTCCCCTACCGGTCCCTCAAAAAGTTCTTTAATTGTCATACACTCCTGTGTATTGCCATTTATAATGAATTTGAGGATGAAGTCTGTATTTGAAAATATCGACCACAAAACATAATAAAATAAGTTTGTCTATATCACAGTAATGTGTTAAGTTTCCATGCTTAGTAAGGAAATTATGTTTATACAACCTTGTCATATTATTACGATGTGGGATTTTAAAGAAAATCCTGTAAGGAATGAAGAAGTTGGAGTGAAAATACCAGTTTCTCGAAAAAAATCTAAGTTCAAGGGGGACATAATTCTGGAAATTATAAGTCTTGCTAGAGTATTTAACCTTCTCAAAAATGTCGAGTGATAATAAGAAACATATATATGAAGTTTGAAGTAGATACATTAGGAAATAAAGAAGTTATTTAAAAAAGACAACATTTTTTCCCCTAAAAAATCTAAGTTCAAGGGAGGTAATATTGATATTTTTTGTGCTAGAGTTATAAACCTTGTCACATATGATGTGGTTGATGACCAGGAACTTATATTTAAAGTTTGAAGTAAACACCTTAAGAAATAAAGAACATATAGTCAAAAAGCTGAAAAATTTAAATCAGAAATCTTGAAATTCAGGCTATTTGTTGCCATAGCAACCAGAATTTTCAACAGAGGAAGAAAAGAAAAAGATGTGCATAATCTCCAGACTGCCATCTACCCATATTTCAAGTTTCATAAAAATATTTTCAGTACTTTTTGAGTTATCACTGGATCCAGTTTATGTGTTAAATTTGCCATATTTTCAGACTATTTGTTGCCATAGCAACCAGAATTTTCAACATAGGAAGAAAAAAAAAAGACGTGCATAATCTCCATACTGCCATCTATCCATATATCAAGTTTCATAAAAATATTTTCAGTACTTTTTGCGTTATCGCGGGATCCAGTTTTGTGGACGGACGGACTGACGGACTGACAGACTGACAGACAGACGGACAGACGGACAGACAGACAGACGGACGGAGGGTAAACCTAAAGTCCCCTCCGGTTAAACCGGTAGGGGACTAATAAACCGCAGTTACCATTGGCGTCAAGTGAAAATGCCGCGCTTGCAGTTTTCGGATAAACTGTCATTGAATACGTATGTACGTCTAAAGCATCTGGGTCTTCAACTGTCACCGTGAATAGAGCTGTATCAGCAGCGGTGTTTTCGGCAAAACTTATAGTCGCTGGTAAATTATTAAGTTGAGGATTCGTTTTTGAGGCTAAAATAAATAATAAATATATAATTGATGTTACACGATCTATCCGTATATTGAATATATAGACTTTTTTAAGAAAAGAATAATAAATTTGGTTGCATTGCAAAGGTTTGTGATTACAGATACAGTGTGTGGTCGTTTACATGGGGTATGAATGGCCGAGGTCGTTCAAAGTCGTTGTTATCAAACCACTTGCCCCTTACTGTCACAGGTTCGAATGCTGTCAGAGACTTTTGATTCTTTTATTCTTTATTTTAATTCCTTCTTCTTTTATCAAGTAAGCTTATGGAGCGTTGGTCGTTTCTACTCAGGTGTCCGCTTGTGTCAGAAGTGCGGAGGACACATAATGCCTTCCTTTAGCAGTCAGATTGAAAGTCGCCACATGACCTTCACTGTGTTGGTGCGACGTATTTTTCAACAAAAAGACTTCAATTTGTACACACAGTATGAACCATGAGCCGCAAACTATCGTATTATATCAATTTATAAGAATTAATACTGAATTTTAATAATTTATGCCGGTACTGATGGTGGGCACTTTACAATAATCTCCATGAACTGGCTTGAAACACAAGTCGTTTTGGGTGATTTTAACGGATAAAGTTTATATAGATTATTGACGCGGAATAATCATGACATCTTAAAACAACGCTAACTTCAAATAGTAGACTTCAAGAACAATTTTGAATTAACAAACACTTACATGAAATATTAACATTCAGAGTCTCACAAACCACGTGACTGTGCACGCTTTCTTCTATACACAATGTGATAGGATACATTTCACCTTCTTCATCTGGGATTCTGACATCTCGTTTCATTGATACGACACCATCTGTTAACAAACGAAAAATAAATCAAAAATGTTTTTATACAAAAAAATATTTTCCTGGCAAAATAAAAAAAAGTGCAAATACAAAGCAAAGAAAAACGTTTTATTAATCCTGAGAATTGACCAGTAAAATAAAAATTAAATTCGTTTACCTGACAAACACTGGAGTGGAACGAAGCTGTCTGTGACATTACATGTATACACGAGAGGGTCGTTTTCAGCATCTGAGGTCTGTAGTGTAAATATTGTGGCCCCAGATTTCACTGTCATAGGATCAACGTTAATAATATCTCCAGCTTAAAATAAGAAGATAAATATTGAACCAGACTTTCCGAAGCAGATAATATTATTATTTCAATATATCTTTAATGTAGTAATATAGAGTTATATTTTAAAGCATATTGTTTTTATAGTTATCACAGCAGTCAATGGAAAAACATTGTATCATAATCAGTTTTAATGATAAAAAATGTATCCCATTTTTAATTTCTTTTTTAGCAGGTCTTAACGTAGTTTTAACATTAACATGCAAAATCCTGTGGTTAGTTTAAACAAAGTATAAAGCTATATTTTCCACGCATTATACCATGTAACGAATCATTGTTCAGTGTGACATTCCAAAAGAAACCATTACAGGATCAAATCATAAAAATATCATATAAATGTACAAGTGTCGTTTCCAATAAAATAATATATCAAATCCATTTTGAACTCCATTTAGCCTTATTTTCATTTTCCAAGTCTAAAATCCATGTTAAATCCATAATGTACTCCGCTTATCCTCGTGTTCGTTTTCCGGTTCCAAATATCGATAACAAATCTATATTGTACTCAAAATAATAAATTACTGTGCAAATGTTGCATAATAGTCCGATAATAACTGCTGCATGTTGTGAAAACATACTTTGTACTTGTATAAAGAAACAGGTCTGTACTTTTCCTAAAGAGTGAATGACGCATTCACAAAATCAAAACCCTACTTAAACTATAAGCCAACAAAATAATTTGTTTCCGATTATTTTATTCTGTTTACGTCCAATACTCCTATGTAAAAGCAGTCATTCTGTTAAATCTTTTGAGATTTGACAATAAGATTATAGGAATAAACACATTTTAGAGTTTTAAAACTTTATACAAGTATATTATTATGTAAAAAGTCCATGTTTGTGTTTGACTACACGAAAAACTCAATACTAGTATGACTCCATGGCCTTTAAAGTTGACAAAGCCAAACACATCATGAACTACCTTGAATACATTAAGTCAAAGCACTATATGTTATGTAATACGTACCATTTATGTTATCCATTGTGGGAATTTGGTTCTCTAGGATAGAGACCGTTGCTGTAGCTGTGTCAGACGAACCATAATTATCTTCACAAACGACCACTATTTTATACGTGTCTGCAACATCATAATCAAAACCTGGCCCTTCTTTGCTCATCAGTTCATAGACTTTAAATAATCAAATTGAATATTAAGTGTACATAAATATTAAGAGGCTGATTTGTACCATGGTGTATATACTTTCCGCGGGATGTCGGGCGAAACCACTGAAATTCGACTCAGAAACAACTTCGTCTTATTTTTGTTTGCCTGGCGCCCTTAAATGGAAAAGTACGACAAGGTGGTCACCTTGCCTTATTTAGAGATTTTGCCTTGCTTGCAACAAGGCAAAGTACTACAAGATGTCATTTTGTCGTAGTTTCGTGTTTTTCGTGTTATCTGGTCATTGATGCCAGCACTATTAAGTGTTGAAAATTGAGAACCGCCAAGGGCCTGAGGGATGTTGCACTTATTTATTATCCCTCATGTACAGACTCAATCAAACCGACCCTGCTATTTTCTTGGTATTTTGCTGTGATTAATGCTTCCGAGGGATCACTTTGTTTCCAGATGTTTATACTTCACAACAGCAGGTGTCAAGTGCCGAGTGACATCGGTAAAATGTTGCCCCGTACTTCAATTCACTGTTGTTATACGTTTCTGGTCCTTCGGGATCATTGATGATAGGGGTGTGAGGGATGTTGCACTTATTCATTATCCCTAATGTACAGACCAATCAAACCAAGTCTGCGATTTTCATGTAATTTTGTTGTGATTAATGCTTCCGAGGGATCACTTTTTTCCAGATTTCAAATAAGCTTTGACATAAGACAAAAATGACCATTTTGCCATAATTTTATGATTTTGTTTGTTGCCATCGCAGCAAAACGTAATAGCATGCAATTACGACAAATTGATCACTGTCGTATTTTCGTGCTTTACCCAGGCGCCCCGCGGAGCAAAAAAATACGCCAAGACACAAATCAACCGCCATGTAAGCATAACAAATCTAAACATGTACATATATTGATTAGATATTCTGGATATTTAAAGTATGTATTTACAATAACCTTATAAAGAGAATAATAAGAAAAGGTTTTCGCATAGAATTGCATTATAGTTTGTTTTGATTTGCATCAACATTAATTTTCATGTTCAATGCATTATTTTGGTGATGAAGGACGGCCCGTAAGACATTGTTATAACTAGAATACTTTATCTTATACTTTAAATTAGCCTTCAGCAAAGCTATCGGACTTGTTTGCTCATGCTACTTATTTTTTTAAATTGATACAAATGTATATAGATTGAGGAAACATCTTGTAAATAATGTACTGAATATATGATTTTAACAGAGTCTTAACCCAAAGTGGTGATAAAAAAGTAAGCGGTCTTTCAAAAGTCTCACAAATAATAAAATTGCTCAGTACATTGCTACTTGCGAGACAAAAACAAAAAAGTATGTGTGCATATAGATGTTGTTAGTGGGTTTTACGTCGCACCAACACAGTATTGGTCATATGGCGACTTTCCAGCTTTACTGGTGAAACATTTAGAAACAAAAGACATAAGACCAATTAACCAAACCATTAGATCCAGTGTCTGTTTCAACAGCAAAGAAAATGCTGTTATTAACCGGTGTAGAAGCGGCCTCGTCAACCTCACATGTGACTCCATCATTTGTATTAGCATCAGAGGTTGCTATGGTAACAATTTTTACAGATTCTGTCGTGTCCTCATGAATATCTACGCTTACACTTGCCATATTGGTAATAGATATATCCTTTAGAAGAAAAATTCCAATTGATAATTTTAAAATACAAACTTCACACGACCGCTTTAGTCTGAGAAATACATCAGTTTTAATATATTTCAACATAAATACCTACGCACAGCTTTCCGTGATGATAGTAGATGTACTAAAATAAAAATCCACATGATTAAATTTATTATACTAAGTTGAACGCAAATAAGTCACTGCAACAGCAATTCCAAATCTTCCGAAGATGAAATTTTGCAATAAAGCTATTCTGTTTAGGCATCACTTCTTAGCAATTTATAGAACAAAACTCTTTGGTATTGCTTTGCGCAGGTTGCACGGTACCAGTAAAAATTCTAGTGCCGAAATTTAAAGAAACTTACTTCATTTGTAAATGTGACTTCTACACTAAAAGCGCAAGCGGCCACAGCGCATGCGACTGTATCGTGCACGTTCGCTACCAGAGAATATGTGCTGGGGTTTGGCGGATTGGTAACAGATAGCGCTGATGCTATAGTAATACTCCCTGAAAGAAAAAAATCATTCTCAAAATTATAATATTTCATCATAAAAATTAATATCGTAATGATACAGTCAACTATCGTTATCTCGACATCGACTTTTTCTTCGATATTTCGTTATCTCGATAAAATTTTGAAAATTTTGAAAATTTTGTTCTTCCTTTTTTATTTTTATAGAATATATTTGTTTATCTCGGTATTTTTATTTCGATAAATTCAGCAACTCGAAGTAAAATGTAAGCCCCACCAGCTATTTTCACTCTAGTATCCTTTGTTTATCTCGTTACTATAGTATCTCATTTAAAACTGATGAAAAGATCGTTAATAGAAAATAATGTTTTTCATTAATTAAACAAATACTAGCGATGTCTTTCGAAGTTTAATTTACAGAAATGTCAATGAAGCGCAAATTCGTCGATAAAATTCCGTAAGAAACAAATACAAGAACATGATAGAAGTAGTACTCTTACAGTTATGTTTTTCATTATAAACCTTTCGAATTTAACTATATATTGAAAATAATCTTCGTACCATGACCTCAACAACGTCATAACAGTTTATTCTACAATAAAGATTTTCTTTTTTCTGTCGTGTCGTATTTGTAGATTTAATTCAAGAAAAAACATATATCAAAATATGCACAGGGAAATGATTGAAATAATGTATCAACATTTTATTTGCCTTACATTTATTATATCAATAAAAAAAACCTGTCATTGAATCAACAGAGAACAAGTCCGGGTATTCCGATGTGATGACGTAATTTAACTGCGTGTATCCACTTCCGGTGACGGTAATTTGAAACACTTCGTAGCCAGCCACCGCATTCTGGTCTGTAACTGTTGTGGAATCGTCAGTACACACGGGTGTCGGGCCGCAATATTCTAAAATAAATGGAAATCAGAATTATATGACATATAATTTTTATAATAATTTTTATAAATTAATTTAAAAAAAGAAACAAAAAAGATAAATAAAAACATGAAAAAGAAAGAAACAAAAGCAAACCACTGCTACTTCTTTATTTGAGTAAATTTGGTGAACGAATTTAGATTTTAAGAATATTATATGATAGAAATATACATGTATATTACTGTTTATGTACATCTCGAAAAATATTTTAAAAGTAAACAAACAATTAAAAGCAATTAAATATTCATTGACGTCAATCAAAGCATTAGTACATGTACATGATGTAGCTTAGTCAAAATCACTCAACATTTTGAAATTCTGGCACAAGAACAAAATCGATTTTCATAATTTTTCCTCACTATATTTCATATTTATCATTTGCATATCTTTCTGCTTAAATTGACCTAGATGTTCTATATAAGAAAGTCAAACTATTTCTCTTTATGCTTCTGTATACCTAGATGTTTGTCAAACTATTTGTCTTTATGCTTCTGTAGAAATATATATATAAATGAAATATAAAGCTAATTCAACTGAACTTAATAGTGAAAAAATGATTAATTTAAACAACCAATCAAATATTAAACTGTTACCTCGAATGTCGATCGTAAAAGAACTACAGACTATATTCCGTCTTTCTCGCCCGCAGAAAGTTACAGAAAACGTAGTATTGACCAGATCCCATTGAAATATGGTAGCGGTAACATTTGCTGGGTTATCTGTAAAACAAGGAATTCAAAGACTATACAGTTTTTCTTAATTTTAAAAACAGTTTTCTCCGTTGGATAAATGATATACTGTTTGAATGTCGCATTCAAAAGAGCGTTTGGCAGGACATAAAACAATGGTGACATTTCGATACTGTCATGTTTCAAACATGTACAGCCACAAGATGAAGTAAAATTTCGAGCACGTTTAGCAATTATACTTATTTTCGTTCAGAAAGTGTGTGCTGTTATGTCCGATATTGACATAACTTCGGAAGAGCATTGATAATTGCAAGGTGTAGTCATTTTGGTAATATTTTACTTTTGTTTATTTTACTTATTACACAGAATTTTAGTTTATCATTTTGACTGAATTAATATATACTTGTACTTGTTTGTAATGATGATTATATTCATCACAGCTTGTTAATGAGTTTTAGAACAATGTCCATGAAATATACTTCCTTTTTAACATTTCTAAAAATTTGATAGTAAGAACTTAAAACCAATTAACTATTTTCATTGTGTATATATTATCCGATACGATTTAAAATAAACTATTATCTTGCAATTGTCAAAGTCAATCCGGTACATATACACAAGCAAATTAATAGCAAGGTAGAAATAAATACTTAACATAAAACTATGTTTCTCAAAAAGAATGTGGAAAATTCGTGTTTACTTATTATAAAAAAATATATTCTGTTCAAAATATCAAAAAAAATGTTGTAGTTATCATTCATTTACAGAAGCCTGTATGGGACACTGGAATTCAAAATAAGATACTCAAATGTACTGTATCAGACTTACTGCTGTAGTTTCCACGATCATCGAAAGCAAACAATGATGGTGTAATTGGTGATATGGTGTAGTTATAGTCTAATATTTCTTTTTCAGCGTCCGTGTAGTAAATAGAGAATATGTTGTCTAAATGTGCTATATTGTCAGTGTTTATCGTTATTGTTGCTGAAAAACACAAAAAAACAATCATATATTAACGCGGTATCACTTCACTAAAAAAATGATTTTTTTTTTCGGGAATTATTCTATGAATGGGGTTTTCAAAAGATATACACTTTATCCCATAAAATAAAGAAATATTGTTTTGCAAATATAAAAAAATAAATTAATTAATAAAACCTGAACCGTCTTTTTTATTTGTTATCTGCCCAATGCAGATCACAAAAGTCACGTACTAAAACAAATGTGGTTGAGCAAAATGTAAGACAAACATTATTATGACATAAAACATCACTTTACCGGACTTTGAAAATAGCATTGCTTACCCCCATAGAAACATAATGATGTTTGTAAAGTGCGATTAAGAAGAATTCCGAACCTCATGTTAAAATAGTTTTATCTCCGTCAAACATTTATTAACCACAAAACGTGACTTACATTTAACAGGCTGGTTATTCGGCATTTATTATTACAGAGGTTCTTCAGTCATGTATGATATTCTTAGAATTCAAACTGGCAAATTTAGTAGACATAGAATTCCTCGCGAAGAAAGGTATTGTTTGTGTTGCAATAATTTAGATATCGAAGATGAATACCATTCCATTTGAATATGTTATTGCTATGACGTTATAAGACGTTATATATGTGAATATAATGTATTATAGATGATGTACTTTGTACAAGTCTTAATAAAATTTCTGTTCTGTTCTGATATTTACAAAATGTATATAAGGGCGCTTTACAAATTGACTAATAAACGTAACGGAAATACCAAAGGCATACCTTGAAATAACTCGTCTTGACGTAAAAGGAGTGCTCAAGTAATTTTCATATTGATTTTATTTATCAATCTTACACTACTTTCCTAGAACGAGGCTAGCACTTGTTTGTATTAATTCATTATGTTCTTTCAACGTATGTATGATATTTCAAATTTTAGTTGAATTAGTAGATTAATACAATTTTTAAAAATGCGATGCTTAAAACTAAATATGAACAGCTGTCAACATCTCATTGTCAGCTTGCAAGTGAATCGGTGTCGTTTCAATTTACTAGAACAATTTCAGTATATGTACTCTACACATACAGAAAGTATTATAAAATACTTACTTGGAGTATTAGTGAATACGGGTGGTTGATTCTCCGTTACTTTTAACGTGAACGTTTCCGTGTCTTCTGAACCATACGCATCGTTACACTTGATCGTTATTGTATACTCGTTGTCAAGGTCATAGTTCAAACAAGCAAATCCTAAGTCACAGAGAAAGCTAGCATCGATGTAACCACAATTGGGGTATAGACATACTTTCTTATAAATAAACCAAGCTGAAATAAAAAAAAATAGATATAGTGCTTATCGTCATGAAAAACCCTCACAAAGAGGACTACATTTAAATTAAGAATTGTATTAACGTTATAGAATTACAAGAAATAAGATATATTTGTTATGAGTGCAAACATTGGATCATTACTATGATTGGTGTTTTTTTGTACGAGATAGAAGGCAATACAATGAAATCTGCGCGTCAAAAGGTTCTTCTGGAGCAGTTAAGGTTCATATTTTAAAAGATACAACCATCCACATTTTTCAACAAAATGATTGGCTTAAGAAAATTCAAACTAGAGTGTAAAGATCTTCAATTCAATTCTATCTACTTTGCCTTCATTACGTTTTTCCCATTTCCCATGGAACTCGCTCGTTAAGAAGATATATTTCAAAGCTGTTTAACGTCAGAAAAATTCCGACCTATCCTTTGCTATCAATCTCGAGTCATGGCAGCCCGCAATCTGACCAGACTCGATACTGTTGGGTGACCAACTTCAATTTTAAATCTTAATATCTCAAAACCTGACAATTGACGGTTCATAATTGAAAACTGGACGGGTCAATTTACTAAGTTATCAGTGAGAGATAACAATAATACACCATTAAATATACATTAGCACAGTCATACAAAACATAGTTTGATAGTTTGATAAGTATTTACAATTGTAACTGTAGTTGCCGTCATGGGTTAATTCAAGAAGGGTTGGTTCTTCATTGGTGACAACAACGCACGTGACGTTGTCATGGTCCGGATTGTTGTAGTCATATGTGATAATACTGTGCACGAGAGTCCGTGCATCAGTGTCCTCGTGGTGATTTGTGCTTAAATCCGTATTTGTAATGCTGATAGGCTAAAAGAAACAACATTTCTGATCTTTTGTAATTGAATATTTCACAAAAATATATGGATCTTTATAAATGTTACTCTGTATAAATCAATGTTTATAGGATGACCTATAAAAGTAGGTAGGCTGTGTAAAATAACATAAAATAGATTTTCTCTTTTTTTCTCTTTTCCTCCAAAGGAAGAAATGCCAATGAAACTTCTCAATGAATTAACGCTTAAACACTGTAACGATACCAAAAAATATTTGCGACCGTAAAAGGATACAAAACATGAAGAAATCAAAGCAAATGTTTTATATGACCCTCTCTCTCTCTCTCTCTCTCTCCCTCTCTCGCTCTCTCCCTCTCTCTCTCTCTCTCTCTCTCTCTCTCTCTCTCTCTTGAGTTAGAAATAGTTAATAATCCAGTACATCGTCGGACACCTACTGACGAACCATTAATATCATGATATTATGTTAATCAACCGTGGGTATCCGACGATAAATCCAGTACCGCACATCAGTAAGGAAGCTTAAGAAGCTTTATAAATGATATATTTACCATAACAGTTTAACAGGCATGGTGAATATTTTAATCAACACCCAACAATATTTTGTTTCAGTCGCGGCAAGCGACGCTTTAAACATGTATTTCTTTAATCAAAAATTGATTAAAAAGGCGAAGAGAAGGAGGGCGACACGACTAAGGAAGACAAAAGCTTTTTTATCATTTGGAACGCGTTCCTCGGCTATAATTATTAAAGACTGACGGAAAGGGCCGAAAAGTTGCGATTGGCCGTTTCATACAAAAGACCAATGGTGACATTTTAACCTCTTGAATTCACACGTTCATTTTCACGAATTCACAATTTCTTCCTCATGCATTCACGATTTAAATTTACAAAATTTACGAGTCCACGATTTTATCTTCATGAATTCAAAATTTCAATTTTATGAATTCACGATTTCAACTTCATAAAGTCAGCAACAATTCAATTAGAGAGCACCTTCATACACACAATGAAATTTAATGAAAAAAAAAATAAAATAAAAAAGTAAAAAAGTTCTTACCCAGTTAGTGAAAGAGAACCGCATGCTTATTGTGCATGTTGAGGTATAGGAACACGAATGTCCAGGATTACTCACTGTAACTACAATGGTATGTGTGGAGTAAGGGTAATCCGGCCATACTGTAACATTACCTGTTGTTGAAAGGACACCTTGACAAAATAAAGAAAAAGATAGAATGAGATCATTCAATATAATGTTAAAGCTACATCATTCAATTGCCACATACCAAAGTTTTAAAAAGTCACAAACACGTATTATTTGAATCAATATTTGCAATCGATATAGAGATTTTGCACGATTTAGGTAAAAGAAATCACATATTGCTACCAAATATATCTAACTCGTTGCTACTTAACTAGAAAATACATATTTTGACACAGTACGTCAAGTAATCAATTTTTCTCAAACAGGCCTTAAAGTAACAATAGCTTCAACAACTTGTTTAATTTGTGCCTTCTTTAAAATGTAACTTCTATCTAAATGGTATCGGAATAATGTTGGAAGTTGAATGAGCCTTGGGCACCACTAACAAATGGCCACAGATGACTTAACGAGTATGGAAGATAACTGCAGTTGGATTGAACATTTTTCTTAGATTCGGAAAGGGAAAGATTTTTTTTTAAAATAACTGAATCAAATCAGGGGAAAGTATTTAACATCATTTAATTTACAATTTCTGTTTAAAAATCTTAATCTGAAATAATATGTATATGTAGCAAATACAAAACAAAATTTATTTACGATTTCTTTTGTTACGTAAGAGTTGAGCAAAAACGTTAATGTTTTAATTTTTTTATGTTTACCTGTATTAAGGTCAAGTGATGCCACATTAAGTGTAGTCGACGTTATATTAAAGTTAAGATTCTGCCATGTTGAACTGATCGACGTGAAATGAGCCGACGGATTGTCGTATGTCATTGTGAACAAGGTACCGCCGTCTGGGAATTGATCACTAAAGGTGGTGGTATCGCTCTGATCTCGACAATTTGGTGTTTGGAAACAACCGTCTGGAAAAAATATGAAAATTTCGTTTTTTATCAATCCTACGTAATAGTTATAAGAGAAAATTTATCAGGATAAAATATATCAGAAAAAAATCCCTCACTTAAACTGTAAAAGCGAGTATATGTCTATGGAACTAAAAGTAGAATTTTCAAGCAACGCATCAGATTTTTTAAAGTAAAGCAACTTTTTATAAAATATAATGTCAATAAAACAATGCATGAGTTGAAAAAAGAAATAAAATGCACGGATAAAAATTGATATCAAAGCTTAACATGCAAATAGACTAAGTAAAAAGAGGTGTTTCGTATTTTTGTTACACATGATTCAATAAAAGTCACACGAGTTTCAGCGCTCATTTCTAAATTTTATAATTTTTTTTCTATTTTAAAACTCTAAAAGTAGACTTTCGAAAAGTAAACCCGCGATTTTCACTCAGCTATGATTATTAACATGAACGGATTTTTGTTGGTTATATGGCATATTATAAACGGTTGTAAGATCATATAACCCGATCTGGAAGAGCCGTTTTTATTTTAAACAAGGCCATATAACAAGTAAACAGGTTTAAACTAATATTCAATACTGCACAAATTATTTAGCCAGATAATAAACATGAACTTGCGGTAGCCATACAGATAAATAATATATATGTCCCGATTATCCAATAAAAATTTATGTTACAAATTACACTCTTCATAAAACTGTTATTTTACAATCAGTTTCAGAAACATGTACACAAAGTCTTAAAATTTATTTAGAATAATAGGTATTCTCGCACGCATGTCACATTATAGCACTTTGTCGAACGGAGTGTCTTATAAACATAAACCAATTAAGCCCAAAATCGTACTTGTAGTTTTTCTATATCGAATGTACATTATCACTGGAAATTGAATCCCAAACAGTTAGTACTTATTAAAACCACATTTACTCATAAACCACTTCCATTTTTGTTTTACTTTTACCCTGGTGGTAATGACTAATTAAAGTGACAAACTATACAGAAAAAGGATAAAAACATAAATTATTATTTTCCAACAGCTGGTTGGGTTCGCAGGAAAGATTTAATTGATTTAAAAAGGCTATGAAAATGCGGGATGTCATATGATCCAGCCCGCTGAATCAATACAAAGGTGTATGCTTTACATACCAAAGTTAATCGTCATAGTTGCACACGACTGTTGGCGTCGACTGTGTATACATACTCCAATAGTGTACGTATAATCGTATTCTACAGCAGGGTTTGTTCTCACATATACTTGACCATTGGCTGAAAATAATTATGTAATACAGTTTGATCATACGGTCTTTATATCATTATATATTTATAATAATAAGAAGACATGGCTTGTTGTCATTAATTGATCTATGCCATTACGCAAATGTTTCTTAAAACTGTTATTATCTAATATATTGAGAATATGTCTCTGCCGCCTCTGTACTAATCAACTGGTGATGTTATTGAAAACATTTAGTATTTTAAGAGTAATGGTGTAATATCTTTAAATTCATAAGACTTATATATAACAAAAACAACATAGTAGGTCAATGTTAAAACAAAGTCAAAAAGAAAAAAAAGCTTATAATATTATCATTGTTCATTAAAATCTTTTTAAAAGGAATGATACAATTTGCGAATAATGAAATTCATAAAATAAATAAACAAAAAAATACAAAGATAAATAAATAATTAATTAAAAAATGAATAAATAAATAACGCTACTTGTGTTCAGATCAAACATATTCGCTGTATTTAACAAATATGTGTTAGCCACTGACGATGATTTCGTGTACTGAACGATGGCAGGACCAGATGATTTGGATGCCGTTGCTAAAATTGTAGTACCTGCATTCATCGAATTATCTGCATTTACTGAACCTAAGAATATATTGTACATGTTTCATTCTGGTAAACGCTTGTATATAAAATGTTATAAAAATGTTCATTATGAAGAAATTGTATAGTATTACGTACGTAAATTTGTAACCAATATAAGGAACATGTAAGTAGTTCAGGTTCATTATGCAGTGGTTCTTTGTCGTCCTATCTAGGATCAAGGATATGGAGAATTTCCGTTTTCTGGATCGATTTACTAACATGAAACTTTTGATTTAACACAAGACATGCCCACGTGCAGAATGTCGAGAGGCTTGTCTCAATTCCAATGTGAACATATAATTTTCAGATCAAAGGGAAAAGGCTTGACTCTCCATTTTGCCTGGTCGAGGAAGCCCCTCCGTGCATTCTGGAGCTAGCTGAATAGCTTCCTTTTATGAATGAAACCAAGGTCAATGGATGAATTCGGATCTAAAGTAAAAGCCCTTGGGCAAGGGATTGGAAGGCGACGATTTTAAATATTTTGTCACGAGGCGCATAACTGAATTACTTGTGCGGGTAAAATATAGATAAAATAGTGCTCAGTGTAACTCTGTAAATAAAAGTAATATGTATATGAGATTGAACCAAAGGATGTTGATCTTTAACAACTGTGTCTGCTAAAAAGCGGGGTTTAAATTTTGTTCAACAAACCTAAACCATTTACGGCAAATAGACGCGTAAGCACCTCTGGTCGATTTTAACAAAATTACGAATATTCCATCTCTTTACAGCAAAACAAAGGCGCATTAAGTTTTAAAACTTTTAAACAACATTTAATCCTTTGACATTATTCAGTAAAGTTTTTATGTCTCAAAAACCTGCAAATGTTATTATGTGTAATTATTTTTTTTTGGTTGACGACCCTGACTTTAAATTGAAAAAAAAATTAAGCATATTATAACAATCATGTTACAAAATGAGTCTCGCTTAGCCAGTGCTAGGGGGCTTTAGGAATGATGCACTTTGTCATTACGCCTCATGTACAGACTCTATGAAACTGAGACTGCAATATTCGTGTAATTTTGCTGTTTTAAATGCTTCCGAATGATCATTTTTTCCGGATATTGATATATATATATTAAATAAATGTGTCCTAGTAATTTTTCTTTGTTTTAATAACAAATTTATCTATAAAATTGTATCATACCTGGAAGGCTGATTGTCAATGTCGGTGTTTCTGCTGCAGCACTAACGGTAAGAGTATTATGTTCCAGCAGTCATTGCTTATCATATTGAGGTTGTTGTAACACCTGTTATAGTAACTAGAGTAAGTGTTGCAGCATACATCGTGCTGATTAGAACATTGCTGTACATTGAATGCAACTACCACAGCATTGTTCCGTACATGCGTGATTTAGACTGTGCTCCCTTATAACAAATTGTTAAGTTACATAATTTACTCTTAATGTTTTTAACATTTTATTTGCAATTATCCAAACTATGGAAAGTAAATAAAATCTCTTATAGCATCATGATATTTTTCTCTACTTGCTTTTTCACATCATAACATCACCCGCGTAGCTAAATAGGGAGATGATATTATCAGTTATTATCCAGATATGGCTGGTTCGAGCCTCGGGCGTGGAGTAATATCTCCGTGATAATTGATCTTTGACACCCAGTTTACTGGTAATTTGTCTCCTACATGAGAAATGAGATTAGTAGTCGGTCATTTACTACAAGTTTGTTATCCAGGAAAGTCAGTTAGGTGACTCAACCGCCGGGATACGGTCAAATTGCGTTAAAATCGGCGTAAAAAGATAAAATGATAATAAACAGACAACCAAATTTCAGGTCAACAAACTTTTTTGAAATAATAATTATTAAAAACAGTTATAATCTTTTATCTTTAGTTAATTTTATCATTCATTAATGATCTTCAAAGATAGTTCCTACAAATCAATTAATTTTTATTTTTTTATTCAGTTTTTTTTTATCAACCATTAAAAGAGCCAAATATTTCGATAGCCATTACGAAATTTCGTAATTTGATTTTTATAAATGTGCATTTAATGAACTGTTTTTTTTATATAAATAATACATTTTCAGTTTTAATCCATATTTTTTATTTTCTTTGTATTGATGAAATTTTATTTGGTAAAGTATTGTATTGTAATACCCCGGTATTATGTGACACTTAGGTGACTTTTCTTGTTTTATGGAAAGTAAATTATTTATTATAATATTCAATGTTAAATTTCATTTAAAGTCTTGATTTTTCTTACGAAATTTAGCCATTTTGTCTGGTTAAATTAAGATAGTTTTCTACCCGTTTTTGGTAGATAGTTTTCTACCCGTTTTTGGTAGAACAGTTTTCTACCCGTTTTTGGTAGATAGTTTCTACCCGTTTTGGTAGATAGTTTCTACCAGTTTTTGGTGGACAGTTTTCTACCAGTTTGTGGTGGACAGTTTTCCTACCCATATTGGTATCGACCATTTGGGGTAGCTACCATTCTACCAATTCAGGATTGGTTCTACAATTCTGGGTATTTTACCCATTTTTGGTCATTTCTACCACTGCCCTAGTATAAAAAGCAAGCAGATTCTTGGTCACAGAAAAAGTTCAGATCTAGAAATTCTTGGTAGTAGACGTACGTTAATTTTGTCTGCTGAAATCTTAATTTTATGTTAATTTAAGTAACAAACAAGTCAAGTTTATTTTAAATACTAGAATTATATCTAGTTGACTTAAATATAGAGCTTAGATATTTTTATACATCTGTATTAGAACTTTTATATAACTTTTACATAATATAACATTTAAGTATTTTATACTACACTGTTTATTGAAGTAATCATCTGGTAACTATTGTCACCGCGGAGTAAAACTGATACACGTAACACGGAGATTTTTGGTTCATCAGTACTAAATATATTTTGAAGGCGTAACAGTACTAAAATTCATTTTATTTGTGAGCTGTCTTGACTATTATGAGAGGTTTTTACTATTAATGTTCAAATTGTTTTGACAATTATTGTATTTGGAAATATTACCTGTTTAATAAATTTTATTACTGTTTACAACGGTGTGCCTGATTACTATCAGATGAGTTGGAGATCTACACAGCACATCAGTTCTGTATCTGCTTGCATTAATACCTTGAAAGCCTGAGTGCCAATATGCAGTTAAATGGTATCGCAGCATACTTAAAGAGTCCCCGACCCACTAGACCGTAACAGTATTTCCATTTTTATTTATTTATTTATCTAATTGCTCATCTATTTCTCTCTTAATTAAATAATTAATTAATAATTAAATAATTAATTAATTAATTTAAAAGTTAATTTATTCATTAATTCATTCATTCATTTATTCATTTATTCATTTATCTATTTATTTTTTTCACCGACATCTTGATAATAAAACTATAGCTTTATACTACGCAGATGTTATCATACAGTTTCTAATTATACATGTATACACATGCAACTATAGTCTACATTAATGGTATCCTTATTATTATTTTGGTTCAGGGATCTCATACAAATACTACGTTTTATAAAAGCTAAACAATATACAAAAATCTTATTACATTTTAATGAAACAATACTACCATTCTGGATTGTATTTCTTTTTAATCTGTCAAATGATATCCGTTACACATAATGTGATTTCAAAGCTACATACTTGACTGCTCTTAAGAACAATAAAGCAACCGTAAAATTAAAAACGAATGGAACAATTGTAAGATCAAAGAAATGAAAACTTATCTCAACTGTAACTTTTAATCATAAGTAAAAATGTATTGACTAAATGTACAATTTACCTTTTTATAAGCCTTGGTTAAAAGTTGATATAGACACAAGAGTTCAATGTATTTTTTAACAAATGATATTCTTATGACTGTTGTAACATTGGATTTACAACACAAGAGATGCCTTCTTCCCAAGCAATGTGAAGTAATTTGAGTGAAAGAAATAGCCACATTTAAAAAGCAAAGTTGTATTTTGCCTTCCAAACAAAATGCTTGATCACTATAGCTGTACATTTTTGGAAGGAAATTTTTTCAAAAAAAAATTTCCTTTCTATAGTATCGGTCTGCCTATATTGAAAAAGAACGAACAACACCTAATTGAATTCTGTTTAAGCTCAATAGAAAATAAGTAGTTAGTGCGACCAAGAAAGTAGTGCAGCAGAACTATATGTATACTTTCAAACGTGGATGACTTGAAGAAAAAGCTGATGTTCAAAAAAACTTGAAATGATGATATTCAATGTTAGCTTACATCAATGGAACATAATCTTAAACGTGTACGGAAAAAAAAACATCAGTATTATTACGCATTAGGCCAAAGAAAAGTTTGTGTCCATGTACCTATGTACAATAAATTGAATATAAATAAGGTGTAATTTTGTAGCAGAGATGCTGAAAAGTTCACATATATAAATCAACCGAAGGAAATGAAAGTATTTATTGTATATATTTAGCAATTTATTGAATAGCATTTTATGCCACCGCTGATTTTTTTACGTCGATAACTCAAGAGGAAACAATGGATACAATATGTGGCCTTAAAAAGGGCGTTCTGTACTGTACTATTTTCGCAAAAAAATGGTTCGCAAACTATCATAGAATCAAAGCGTTTGAAACAAAAATATTATTATATAAATAATAAAAAACAAGATTACAATACAAGTCTTTCAAGAGTATTTCTGGAATTAACGGATGCAATTTTGATAAAACTTGGTGTTGACTAATAAGTAGGGCACACCCGCCATTGTTCGGACCATCGACAGAATAACGTTCGTGGTTTTGAGATTTTTCCATCCAAGACATAGATTTGCTAATGAATAACATCGCAAAGGTTTGTGGAAATGCTTTTATTTCTTTGTTCAAAATCGTTTTGTGTTTGCAGATGCTAATTTGTTAGCCAAACGAAATTAGGTCAAGGATTGTTTACATTATTGAATTTACAGGTAAACTCGGCCCTATACCAACTCGGGACAGGTCAACTAGGCCCTCTATTAAAACCATATATATTAGGATATAGATTGTTTAGTTAATAAAATATTGTTTG